AAAAGCTTGTTTGGGGCCTGCCAGAGATGATGTTTTGAGGGAAATGTTAAGTAACACTCTGTGTATTGCCATTTTAATTTATTCTACTGAAGCAAAGCTTAGTGTTTTAAATGTGTGTGCATGCTCTTGTTAAGTGGCCCAGTTAGCGGTATTGAGATGTACCTGAAAAAGTTTTCTTCCTTAGGCAGTTTTTCCAGCCCTGACACTGTTTTCAAAAAACAAAAAAAACAAAAAAACAAACAAAAAACACTAAACTGTCTTGGACACTTCATAATTAGATTGCTTTATTTTTTTATTTATTTTTTTTTTTTAGATTGCTTTAAAGATCAATCTGGACTTTATTTTTGGTCTTTGTAGCAAATGCAAGACATGTCGATCACTATCAATTTTTATAGTTTTTCTTTGACTTTAAAAACTGAAAATAATCACATTTGATGTCCATAGAAACCTTAACAGTGTCCTAATACCCTTTTATTATAAAATTTCATAAACCATGTCTTTCAAAGTAATTTTATATTAAATCCAGCATCACAAAGTTAAGTGTGTCAAAGTACTTAACAGATCATTCACTTATAGCCCCTGGGAAGACATATGAAACTTATATGGCCCTTCACAGTAGACAGACCCATTAGGAAATGTTACATAAACTTACCACCCAGTAGCGTGTACATTAGTATTAGTGGATACATGATTTTTGCCACTGATGGGGGGAGTTCAAATTGAAATGTCCTTCGGCCATATTGCTCTGAAATATATATTTAATTTAGAATTTCCTCCCAGGTAATTGGAAGGTTCACCATCTAGGCCATTTTTATTTATGTAGCCAAGCAAAAACAAGTAGCCCAGTTTAATTTCTTAAAATACTGCACATTTGCTATATAGGAGTTATTCAGAATCATATTTATATGTAGGTTCATTTAGATCCATCTTAGGATTCAAGTTATATAGTCCTATAAAATAAATATTACTACTTTGCCTTTACATAAAAATGCAAGTGTGTTTGTATTTTGAATCCAGCACTTAGGAAAAGAGATTTTGATTCCCAAATCATTGTGGGGGTGGGGGGTGATGACAAAAACAATGGGAAAGAAGGGAGAGTAGCTTTTTTCCTCTTAGGGTTGTGGGGTGGAGCCTCTCCTCTTTTCAAAAACACTTTTCCATTTAGTATATTTCATTTATAGAAATGCTGATTTCTGTGTCAAAGTGTAATTCTCATGCTGAAGCTCTAGCCCAAAAAGGCAAAAAGCAAGTTGTTTTTATAGCACAAACATTATCCATCGCTTTTACAAATTAAGAAACAAGGGAACAAAGATCAGAAGTCAAGCCAAGTAAGAACATGGTTTCAGGGAACGTGCCCTAAATAAAACCACAGAACAGGCAGTTAACTCAGGTGCCTAGAAAGTCTCGGTACCCATTACTAGAAACAGCCAGCCAGAGCGGCTAGTGCACCTTGAGAAAAGTAAAGTCTGCGTGCTCACGTTCCTGCCGGGCTTAGGGAAGTAGGCGAGGATGGCAAGCCTTGCTGTTGAGACCAATCCAGGACTACACAAACAAAGCCAGCATGTTTTTGGATAATAACCCTTTAAAATGTTGCCCAACTGACACTGTGTCCACTGGTTCAGAGGTCACTTCTTTCCACCTAAATGTTTACCTTGCAGTTTTACCCAAATACTTAGATTTGGAAAAAAACACATTTGAGGACTCCTTTACCTAAATTATAAAACTAAGTCTTTAGTGTTTGTTGTTTCAAATGAGAAGTAAAAGTTGTTGTAACTGCTTTAAGTGACTTGTGGGGGTGTTTTACTTATGCATAAGTATTTCCAGCAAAAGGAAGGTAGAAAGGAGTTGAAACTATTTGCTACTTGGGAGTAGAAGGCTTTTTGAGAGAGATAGGGGTATTAAGTACTTTTTTTTTTTTTTAAGTACTTTCATTCCACACTTAGCCCTATTAACAGGCTTTTGTTTCTTTTGAAGAATATGCCCAAATAACAGCAGTATTCCAGAAATCTGACAAGGATCATTTGTTACTTGCCACTTCCCATCCCCTATACCAAAGGCCAAAATCTACAGTATGTGCTTGCCTGGGTGAAGTTCTTCATTCCAAACCATGTTGTATTTCCTTTGCAGTTCATTATAATAGGGCTTGACCCACAAAAAGTATCCGATGGCCTGCCTATAAATAAAATTCAGCATTCTATTTTTAATAATTTGTATGCCACCAGTTTGTATTCTTTGTCTCAATAAATACTTGAACACTAGTGCTTTTGTTTTTTGACTGTTAATTTGCTATTTGCACTAGAATCTCCTGCTTAAGGAAACCCTTAGTTCCAAATACAATTTTCTAAGATTTCCTGCCTTCAGGAGAATGGCACTCAACTAGAGTGCTTTCAGAAATGGAGGTCTACCAAAAAAAAAAAAAAAAAAAGTCCACCTTTTGGGGTATATAGGTTTTTTTAAAAGATTTTATTTATTCATGAGAGACACAGGCAGAGACACAGGCAGAGGGAGAAGAGGGCTCCCCACAGGGTGCCCCATGTGGGACTTGATCCCAGGACCCCTGAGCCAAGGCAGACACTCAACCACTGAGCCACCAGGCACTGTTTTGGGGGTATATTCTTTAAGCAAGTCAGTCACTCGAAAGTTAGTCGTAGATGACGATGCTTAATGTTAAACTAATCCTGCCTTTAGCAGTGGTTAGCCATCCCAACTATTATGCAAGATACTAAGGACCCACGTTATACACGGGGAACCAGAAGTTCAAAGTCTCCACTGGCAAATGCCTGGGCTGGGCAATTTAAACCTAGTTCTGATCTTATGAGCATTTCCTGTTGTAACACAGCTAGAGGAGGAGGAGGAGGACAGAATACAAAACCGGTTCCTCAAGAACACAGGTAGGGGACACCTGGATGGCTCAGTGGTTGCCTTTGGCTCAGGTCCTGATCCCAGGATCCTGAGCTCCTCTCGAGGAACCTGCATCTCCCTCTGCCAGTGTCTCCGCCTCTCTCTGTATGTTGCTCACGAATGAATAAATAAAATCTTAAAAAAAAAAAGAAAAGAAAACCACAGGTAGTAAATTTAAATGTGGCTAAACAACGGCCTGGCCTGTATTCTGTGGACAGTATGGTGTTCTGAGCCCAGGCACAGCCTGCACATTCTGGAACTACAGTGGGCTTCCTTCCAAGGTAAGCTGGGAAGCGCTGCCCCGTAGTACTAGTAAATTCAGCTGGCTGGGTCACTCCACCCGATACACCCATTTTCTCTACTGTACCAAACATCAGTTTCCATTGAAGGCACAGGCTAACCTTTGTAAAATTTTCATGGACTTTCAAACTTATAAATAGGCCCAGGAAACAAAGTCATGGGGATGAAAGGCACCGCATAGGAAACAGGAATTCTTAGTAACATACAGTGACTGTCGGTGACCACGCTTCTGGTGAGGAGCACGGGTAACGTATAGAATTGTTGAATCACGCTGTACACTTGAAACTAATACAACATGGTGTGTCATCAATACTTGAATAATAAAAATTTCAAAAAAAACATGTAATTACAATATTATTTGAAATTAAAGCGTTGGACTAATCTACAGCCTGGTTACAAACTTAAAATTAGTCCAGCGCTTTAATTTCAGATAATAAAATCCTAATTACATGAACAGTTTCAGGAGAGAATTTATACTAATAAAAGGCTAGCTTGAAGACATTTCTTGAATTCTTTAAATTCTACTTTCTCTTAATAGAGAAATCCTAAATTAATGCCCCAAATCCTAAAGTACTTGCAACAACCCAGCACCTAAAGTCGCATGCCTGGACCTCACGCATTCAGTCTTCCGGCCTGGGAAGTGGGCTTACTTGCTTCCACGACACTGCCCCGTCTTCCCCGGACCTCCCTCAACTTTCCCTTGTGTGTGGAGCGCATGACCTGGGCCTGCCCAAGACCGGACCACAGCACGGAGCGGACCATCGGGGACTCTGCAGCCGGAGCCCGTCCAGGGAGGAGAGTCCTCTGCTGGGCCTGAGCGGGGAGGGACAGGTTTGCAGCTGGAGCTGCTCCCGGGAATGTCTACTGCTACCACGTGCAGCCTGAGGAGGACGGCAGTGGGGATGGGACATTCAAGTCCCCAGTCCCAGAGATGATTGCAGCTTGGGGGCCAGAAGACTTTTTAAGCAACCTTAAGCAGGACAGTCAGTCACTTGTTTTAAAGAATAAGTAGTTCTAGCACATTTTTTTTTTCTCTAGCACATTTCTTACGAAAATCTTAGCCAGTGTAGAAAGCCCACCATTCCCATTCATGTGGGCCTGGAGAATGCCGAATAATGAACCTGTTAGGTATTAACATCTTAGCACTAAGACCAGATTTCTGGTATTCATTTGCCCCCAAACAGGCCCATGTCAAATGTGTATTATTTACTAAAGTGAGGAATATAGAATGTCCCCCCAAACTAGCATCTGCTGATGGCCTAAGATTTTTTATTTTAAAGATTTCACTTGTGAGAGAGCACATGAGCAGCGGGGAGGGGAAGAAGCAGACTCCCCAGTGAGCAGGGAGCCCAAAGACGTGGGGCTCCATCCCAGGACCCTGGGATCATGACCTGAGCCCAAGGCAGACACTTCACAGACTGAGCGCTCCCCACCCCCAGGCAACCAGCCTAAGGTGTTTTCAATACAGAAAAATATCTTCAAAATTGGAAACGCAAAAACATTTTGTAAACATTTTAAAGTTCTGAATTTGGACTTCACCATAATTTCAGCAAAATAAAAGACTGCACAAAATAATCTGTGTGCTCAAACTGAGTATAAAATTACCAAATGCCATCCCAACAGGTCTTTTTTTTTTTGGACAACAGATGAAATAGTTAAAAAAAAATATTTTTTTTTGGTGAAATAATTCAAAAGCCACACAAAAGGACCATGAAGTTTTTGTAGGCTGCTTTGGGCCTGTAGACTCGATCAATAAACACTATCTAGTCACCTCTCAAGGAAGATACGATACAAAGAGAAATGGTTACGTGTGTTTATTTTCAATTTTTAAAAAGGTATGTCAATTTATATGCAAAGTAGGCGTGATTCCTAGCACCAGACAAAGCAGGGTACCTTCTATATGTTTTACGTTCAGACACTTCCCCCTTCACTTAGGAGTTGTCCAAATCAGTTAAATGTATTCTTTGGAATTTCTGACCATGGCGAACCTTTACAAAAAAGGTTCCCTTCCATTAACACTGGTACCTTCATTATAAGTTAACACTAGAACAAAAAATATTTCATAATTTTTTATTGATGGCATTTATCCCATGGTTTAACATGTTAATTATACTGTAATAAACATGGCTTTAATATTAAACTTTTCCTTATTATCCAAAGTCACCACAGTCCATTTCAGTAAATATAAAAATATATGCTTAATACTTTGTACAATACTGGTTTTTGGTCCAAACAAAACTGGATCAGAAAAGCCAATAAATTCACTTTAAGAATCCCCAATTTTTTTTTAAAGATTTCCAAATGGATTTAGGCAACTTTGAATAATGGGATTTACATAATAAAATCTGAGACAAGACTAAACAAAGAACAAACAAATTTTCTAACACAAAATTAAAATTTCAAGTTCACAGATTTATGTTATGCCAAAAAAGTACAGAAACAAAATTGTATTTACACAAGTTTCATAATAAAATAATGAAAAAGGCAAGACAGGTGATAGGAGAATGAAAATATAGAAATAGCATATAATTATTAAATGGAGAACGCACTAGATCTAATAAGTCCTTAGCATGGACCATTCTTTAATCAGGCTTCCTCTATCAGAAAATTTTAGTGCACAATACACCCAACTCACTCACTTCACACATACACCAGCACAAACTCAGCATAGAAATCATTCACTTCCACATTCTCTAATCTATACAGAATTCCTCCGATATAATTACAATTGCGGTGCGTTCCACAAACGCACATCAACGCACAGAGTGGTGCAGACACAGAGGTTCTATCTATACACAGCCATCCGCGGAGCGGGCTCGGTCCCTGGGTTCAGCCAGCCTATGCCAATCAGGGAAGAATGTGCTGGATTCTATTTTTGCTGAAGAATCAGTCACCCATCTAGCTATTTTTTTTTTTTTTAAAGGGGAATGGGAGAGGTAAGGGCAGGGCTTCTGTAAAGAAAAAGGAGGAAAGTCCCCAACATAAAGAAGTCCTCAGGCAGATCTGACTTCAGATAACCCTGCGCACAGTACGGGCCAGGATCTGAGAAGCAGGGCACCAGCCGTTGCGGAAGTGTGGTGTGTGACACACCGCGACCTTTATTTCCTGCGCCTAACAGCAGTCTTTATCTTGCGACCAGAAACTGAAGTTCCAGAAGAGGAGAACATATTTTTCCCATTTGACCTGTGAAAAATAGAGTGTATTATGTGACAAGGTGCTCAGGGGAGACTTGAGAACCATCACCATCCTACATGCGGCCGGGACCAGGGGTGCACAGGGAGGGGAAGCACTGGTAAAGGAAACACATTTTCTGTCACTGTGCGCGCGCGCGGGGGCGCGCGTGCGCGCGCGCGCGCGCGCACACACACACACACACACTCACACGTACACACCTGCTGCTGCACCACAGCTACGACCCTCCATGACTGTAATACGGACAAGTGATCATACTGGAGAACATCCATGGGGTTTTACCTCAACTATACCATACTCCTTGGTGATTTTAGAAACAAAACACACACACGCAGGTACATGCACACACCCCACCGTGTTAAATTCTCCACATCATATGATTGTCTTACCCCACTGTGAATGCTGGCGAGGACTGGCTGAACGGGAAGCCTCCAGAGCCAGAAGGCTGCGCCGAGGCCGCAGGTGTGCTGGGATTTGCACCAAATGTGAACACTCCTGATGGATTGTTGTTCGTGAAGTTGAAGTTAGTGGTGCTGCTGCTAAACTGGAAAACTGAACCTAGGATAATTAAAGCAGAAAAACTTCATTAGGGTCAAAATGACAGTTTTTCTAGAAAGGACTCTGACCTTTACATACAAAAACATGGGAAAGATTAAGCTTTCTTAGAATCATTTAATATGGGACACCTGGGTGGCTTAGCGGTTTAGCGCCACCTTCAGCCCAGGGCCTGATCCTGGAGATCTGAAATCGAGTCCCACATCAGGCTCCCTGCATGGAGCCTGCTTCTCCCTCTGCCTGTGTCTCTGCCTCTCTCTCTCTCTGTCTCTCATGAATAAATAAAGTCTTTAAAAAAAATTTTTTTTAAAGAATCATTTAATATAAAGAAAATTAAAATGAAGTGTTTTCTCCACTGACACACAGAACATACTTAAACAGCCCTGGGCAAGTTATCCAACTTAACCATGACCAAGGAGAAAAGGGTAGGATGGACTTCTGGTTCAAGATACAGAATCAACACACACACTTAGCGCTAACTTCTTCAAAAATTACATTAAAATAATAGTAAAGGGATGTTTATTTACAAAGATGGAGGAGAGAGAAGACAACACCAACAAAACATAGACACTGGAAGGCTGGCCAGATCCAAGTACTAAGCTAGTGGCACAGATGGAATCATTGACACTAAACATCTCCAAAGGTTTGGGTGCCAGGGGCCACTGGAAGTGAGAATGAAAGTGTGACTACAAAAAAAGAAAAAAAAAGAAAAAAGAAAAAGAATTGGATATCTGTGTACGAGGCAGGTACGCAGATCAATCCCTCCCCCAAACCAAACAAGATGATAATTCTCCTCTACCCCCAGAGAATAGAACATCAGTCTCCAGAGAGGTCTCTGGACTAGGGGAGGACATATGAAGGCAGAGACAGCCTATCAAAAATAGAAGGATTAAAAATAAGTTGCTGTACTGGGAACAGAGAGCTGCAGCCTTCCTCTCTGACTTAGGTCCTAGAATCCGGACAATCAGGAACATACATACCCTCCAAGCAGGAGGCTGGCAATAACCTCTGGAGAATCTGCCCATCTAGAAGGGAAAACCCAGGGACACTAACATCCAGGTCTTCCCAAGTAAGCAGGCCCGTCACATAAACTTACAGCGAGATTCAACACCTATGAGCATATCCGTGCACAAAGAACATCATGTTGTATTTAGGTGTCCTACATTCATAAAAGTATGAGTTGAATGGGAAAAGGTATTTGCAAATCATAAGAGCTGATACCCAAATATAAAAAACTTCTACAACTTGATAGTCAAAGAAACCAAAAACCCTGATTTAAAAATAGACAAAGGACTTGAACAGACATTTCTCCAAAAGATGACACAAACAACTGGGATGCCTGGGTGGCTCAGCGGTTGAGTGTCTCTGCCTTTGGATCAGGATGTGATCCCGGTCCTGGGATCCAGTCCCACATCAGGCTCCCTGCGAGGAGCCTGCTTCTCCGTCTGCCTAGGTCTCTGCCTCTTTCTGTCTCTCTCATAAATAAATTAATTAAAATCTTTAAAAAAAAAATTTAAACGACACCAACAGATACATAAAAAGATGCTCAACATCACTCATCATCAGAGACATGCAAATCAGAACCACACTGAGACACCACCTCACACGTGTTAGAAGGGCTATCATCAAAAAGATAAGAGGCAACAGTTGTAGGTGAAAAAAAGGAACTGTCATGTACTGCTGGTGGGAATGTGAACCGGTTTGCAGCCACTATGGAAACAGTATGGAGGTGCCTTAAAAAAATTAAAAATAGAGCTACTCTATGACCCAGCAATCCTCATTCTGGGTATTTATCCAAAAGATTTGAAATCAGGATCTCGAAGAGATATTTGGACTCTTGTGTTCACACCAGCATTATTTACAACAGACACAACCTAAACCTCTACTGACAGATGAAGAGATGAAAACAATACATAGTACATACAATGGAATACCATTCAGCTTTTTTAAAAAAGAAAAGCTTACAATATGAAAAAACATAAATGAATCTGGAGGACATCAGGCTAAGTGAAATAAGCCAGTCACAGAAGGACAAGTACTACATGATTTCTCTTCCATGAGCAATCTAAAATAGCCAAACCACAAAAGCAGAGAGAAGAGGGGCTGCTGGTGTGTGTGTATGCGTGCATGCATCAACAGAGATGCTCTTCAATGGGTGTGAAGTTTCAGTTACACAAGCCATCAGCATACAGCAGGGTGCCTACAGGTAACACTACTGCACGCTTACTGTGCTGAAAGGATGGATCTCATGGGTTTTTTTTAAATTGTAGTAAAAATAATTAACAACTATGATTAGATAGCCATGAAGCACCAGAGATTCGAGGAAAGTATTTCACAAGAAACCTCAAGACCCAAACAAAAATAAAGAAAAGCAATTTGGAGAAAACGGACTGAACAATAGGAAAAAACTCCCATACTTCATCATTTATATCCTCAAGAGATAAACAGGTTAACAATTCTGAAACAAGAACAGAAAGATATAAAGGGGACACATCCACAGAACAAAAAAGACCATCTGAAATTAAAAAGTAATACTAGCAAAAGTAGTATCTTGATCAAATGGGGAGTAAAAGTGGAAGAAATCTTCCCAGAAAGGACAAAAAAGGAAAAAAAGAACAAAAGTTAAAGAGGCACAAAAATCTTCAACGAAGTAATTCAAGAATGTTCACAAAACGACAGACTAAATTCCTTACACAATCAATGGATAAAAATGGATCCCAACCAAGGAACATCCTCCTTGCCTCAGAACACTGGAGGCAAAAGAAAAGATTCTAATGAGATTCTAGAAAGAAGAAATGGGTCCCAAAGCAAAGATCAAGAAAGACTTTCAGAGCAACTCTAATAAGAGAGCCAGAAAATCCACCATGCAGAAATGCTTTCAAAACTATGAAAATTATTTCTAATCTAAATCTGTATTCAACCAAAATCTTACCAAACACAAGGATGGAATAAAGATACTTCCAGAAATATATGGTCTCAAAATTTTCTCCCCTGAGTGCTTAAGAAATCACTGGAAGATCTGCTCTATCAAAACAAAGGGATAAGAACAAGACACTGACATCACCCAGGAAAGAGAAGCAGCTAAGGGCAATCTCCAAGAGAATGGTAAGAAGAGATACCAAGACCACAGTTAAGTAGCAGGCCTAGAAAGCCTGCTGGAAGGAAGAGGTTAGAAGAGTCTGTGAACGGCACCTGGGTTAAGCATCCATCTTCAGCTCAGGTCATGATCTCAGGCTCTAGAATCGAGCCCCCCAGTGAGGCTCCCTGCTCAGTGGGGAGTCTGATTCTCCCTCTCCCTCTGTGTGTGTGTGCCCTTTTTCTCTCACTTGCTCTCCTGCTCACTCTCAAATAGAATCTTAAAATTTCCTTCAAATACTAAATAACAAGCAGCCAATGTATTTGAAAATAAAAAGAAACAAACTACCTGAATGAGGGAAGAACTATAAAGTTAGAACTAATGAAAGTACAACGAAATTAAAACGGAGAGGAATCACTGGCACCAGAGAAAACAAAATTTTGTATAGAAAAGAAAAGCACACTGTACCATACAGCGTCTGCATACTCAAAATACTAATCTAAGCACAGTGATCAACCTAGGAGGAATGAGCTGTCATCTGTGTGAAAGAAAGCTACATTCCTCAATTCCACATGCTGAGGAGCAATAAATCCTGATTAAAATGGTGAACATATACCTCAAGAGAAAGTACCAATACCCAGAATACATAAAACATTCCTGCACATCAGTGAGCAAAAGCAAAACTGAACCCAAAAAATCCTTATAGAAACAATTCACAAAAAATGAAATCCAGCAGAATCCAAATCTGAGAATCCTCATACAACGCAGTAGGATGTAAATGGGTATAATCCGTCAGGACAAGCTTGCGTTATTTTCTGCAGTATTGGATATGCATGCACACCTTTTAATCTGGCAGTCCCTCTCTTGGGTATATACCCTAGAAAAATATGCCCCAAGACACATACACAAGAATGAGCAGAGGTACATTTCCTAAAAGGTAAAAACAACTCAAACACATTCGTGAACAGTATATGGATAAATTGTGATATGTTCATAAACAGATTTACTCTAACACAGTGAAGGAGAACAAACTATATGTAATAACATGGATGAACTTTACAAGTAAGAGTGAAAGATGCAAGAAATCAAGAGACTTAATACAGTGAGATTCCATTTATATAGAATTAAAAATAAGACATTATGGTATTTTGTAGAGATTCATGTATCAGCAGTTAATTTTAAATTAAAACCCCAGGAAAGTGATCACTATAAAATCAGGACACATGAGAGCAAGGAAAGAGAGGCGTGTGATCACACAGGGACCCAGGAGGGGCTGCTGGCCATCCAAGCATCTGCTTCAACACCACGCTATTCCTTTATGTTTCATGCTTTTCTACATGAAGTCATATTTCAGTTAGAAAAATTAGCATTGTGCAATTTTGAGGAAATATATCATCATAGTACAATGTGATCAGCCATATTAAAAACAAAAAACAACAAAACAAAAAAACCCACAGAGGAATGTTTGCTTAAATATGCAAGTATCATCAAACAGAAAGCATCCTGGGTGCTTGGGCTATTCTGTCCCAGGAGAAAACTGGAGTGGAGGTATAACCTTCTGAAGTAAATCCAATCACAATACAGATTAGAAAATATGGCTAAAACTAGGCTGGAATGCTCCAAAAATCAGATGGGGAGAAACAGGACTGATCGATGCTGTTCCTCAATCAAAGAGTAAGAAATAACTACATTTTTAAAGAATGTATTTTTTTTAATTTATTTGACAAAAAGAGAGCACAAGCAGGGAGAGCGGGAGAAGGAGAAACAGGCTCCCAGCTGAGCAGGGAGCCCAGTGTGAGGCTTGATCCCAACACTCTGGGATCATGACCTGAGCCTAAAGAACACAATCAACTGAGCCCCCAGGCATGCCAAATCACATGCTTTAATACCTTATAGTGTGCTTCATTATATAAAAGTTGAGAATGTTGTTTACAGCAATGTCCAAACATATATTTTTCTATTTCGCCAAGTACAAGAGACATTTAAAGAAAGAAGACATAAGCCTGGTTTCAAAATTCAAAAACCATCCTATTTGAAGACACACAGACCCTAAGTACAGACACAAGCCATGTGACCAGCACACACTCACCGGAACTCGGAGCTGTTGCAGAGCCAAATGCAGACTGACCAGGCTGTTGTCCAAACACAGAAGGCTGGCTGCTGCTGGACACGGTCCCAAAAGTAGGTGGTGCAGGCTGAGAACCAGCAGAAAACAACGCTACTGAAGAGGACAGAGCTCCAAAGCCTGGGGGATTAGGCTGGCTGGCACCTTGACTTTGTCCAAATGTCGGGGTTTGGTTAACACCAAATGCTGGACTGGCAGATGGTGCTGAAGGTCCAGTGCCAAATACAAAGGAGGATCCTAGAGGCCCAGAGAAACACTGATGTCACCTTAATAGCTACTAGGAGATAATTCTCAAGAAACATCTATACCTTCAGCAGCAAACTTCAAGCTTCTTTCCATACACTTACCTACCTGTACAAATCCCATCAAGGCATAATTAAGAATACAGTTCTTGCCATTATTTAGTGAAACCATACAGATAGAATCCACATAAACAAAATCATCTACGTATTAACAAACCCACCTCCACAGCCAAACTTTTTTTTAGGTAGAGGGCCCATCTAAGACAACAGGCGATAACTCATCAGATATCTAATGAAGAGCAGAAACCAACTAACGTTGTCATCATGCATCATGTATACACTACAGACTGAGGACTTTTGTCTAAGGGAACAGTCCCCCAGTTTCTGGTTACTTAACAACATAACATTTCAAAAAGATCAGTGGGAAAAAAAAAAAAAATAACAGTGGAAAAAACCAAAGATGACATTCTAATTGAGACTAGAAAAATTCTTCCCAAGACTTAATTCTATTAAACCGAATACAAACTATACAGGATTCCATGCAGTGAACAGTTACAACATCCTGAGTAAACCTAACGGCACCCAGGCCATTCTGTGAAAACCTGCTACGCTATTTGCTAAGAGAGGATATAATTCAAGCCAGTCCAACTACAACACGTACGTTGTTATTCTGTCAAAGTACCTGCAGAGCTGGAGGTGGTTGTAGCTCCAAAACTGAAGCCAGAGGTGGCGGTGCTATTACTGCTGGCTCCAGGACCAAAGACAAATGGTGTGACAGCTGGGCCTGTGCTGGACGTGGTTGCTGGTTTGCTCTCTTGAGAAAACAGCAAAGGCTGAGATGCGCCGGATTCGGCAGAGTTCCCAAAGGCAGAGCTGCTCACAGGATTGCTGGCCTGTCCAAACACAAAGGCAGCCACAGGGGCGCTGGAGGAGGAGGTGGAGCTACCAAATAAGCCCCCGGGGGCTGATGTTGCTGGTGCGCTCGAAGTGGAAGCACTGCTGTTCAAGAAGCTGAACACGGACTTCACTGCACCTGGATCTGAGAGACAGAAACGAAGGGGGAAACAAAAATCTGTAAGAAAAGGAGTCACAGAAAGCATTTCTTCCCACTCTCCAGCCCAGTAATTCATTAGAAAACAGAATCATTAGGTTTTTTTTATATAAATGTATTCATCAAATGGACATTTTATATTAAATTTTGATATAAAGCAAACATACCCATCTTTTCTTTGATGGCTTTTGGACTGTATCTTAGACCAGGCACACTTTCAGCATTCAGATTAATGAGAATAAAAAATATCACTTAAGTCCAACACTTACTGGAGGATATGTCTGGATAACTGTTCAGATAGTGGGAGACAGCTGTACTCTTCATTTTGCCATTTATGTTAGCAAAATCATAATTTATCCAACTGACAGCTACTTTTCTCTGCATTATTTACTGACAGTGCATCCTTCAACTCACTAATTGGTAACTCCACCTTTAGGACATACGAAATCTCCAAAATATGTGTGCATTTGTTTTCTCTACAGTTACTGTTACTAGACTGGTTTAATTATTGTAGCTTCATAGTATGGTTTGATATTAGAACAAACCTGTTTGTGTTCCTGCCCTTCTCTCCAAAATTTGTGCATTTTCCCTTCCATATAAATTTTACAATGAACTTATAGCTTGTCACACTCCACAGATTAAGGCTTCCAGCTATGGAAGGACTAGATCACAAGGATCAAAGAGGGCACAGAGCACGGAGTCTATGGTCCTGCACTAGCATCCTACGGTGACAGATGGGAGCTACTCTTGCAGTGAGCACAGCACGACACAACACACAGCTGTGTGATCACTACAGTGCACCTGAAACTAATGCAACATGTATGTCAACCACACTTCAACTACACAAAAAAACCAAGATTATGCTGGGGTGTTGGGAAGAATGCTCTCCCTCAGGAACAGGTATTAAATAGGTCTTTTATGTTCTTTCAATTTGTATTTCAATAAAATACAAATCAGAAATGTTAGAAGATACAAAGGACATTTGTCCAACTATTTATTGCTGATTTAGAGGAAAGCTACGGGTTTTTATATAGTGAGCCCGAAACCACTCACCTACCTGAAGACATCTTCTTTTTAACCATCCCAATCATGTTTCAGTTCCATAATACTATCTCTAGACAGGGCTGTTCATAATATGGTATGGGCGGCGTTAGCGTGATTTACAGAAAGTGGAGTATGTTGGCTCACTTTCAAGTTAGTTAATGGGAGGTTAAGAGTGTGTTTCAATGGAAAGAGTATAGTGACACCACCATTACATGTGAGTAGACCAGATCTTAGTTTTATTACCTTCCAAATCGTATCCATTACTTGGGTTTTGAAGCGTATTTTGAATGTCCAAACAGACAACAGAAAGACCTCCCACCCACTGAATTCCATTCTTTTTTTTTTTCCAGGTTAATTTTTTGTTTCCTGTTTCCAATATATTATTCAGAAGTGTTTGTGGGTGTTCTATTTTTTTTTTTTTTTGGCCTATCTGAAAATATTTTGCCCTTATATTTGACCAAATTCGGCTGAATATAAAATTGTAGGATTAAGACCATTTTCACTTTGAGGACACTGCTCTACTATTTTAAGCACGTGATGTTACAAATTCAAAGTCGGATGCTAATCAGATACCTGTTTATTTGTGGCAAACAGCTTTCCTCTCTCTGAAAGCATTCAGGATTTTGGCTTTGATGTCCTACAATCTCACTGGTATTTGCCAGTGAGTGGGCCCCTTAAAATTTCCATTTTAAGGCCAGAGTCTTTCTCTGCACGTAGGAAATGTTCTTCTGTCACTCCTTTGATATTTCTTGCATGCTGTTCTCATCTTCTAAGCTACTGCTCCTACAATGGCACTTGTGAGCTAGCTTGATTCAAGTCTCTGCACTTCTGTACTGACGCTTGGAGATCTCAGTTCGCTAACCCGACTATCATCTATGTTTTTTCAGCTGCTCAGTCCACAGAATTTTATTTCACCAACCATGTTTCTAAGTTTTAAAAATGCAATTTCATTTTTCCTTCAGGATATTGCTTTTTGTAATCACCTCTCTGTTTCAGGGACTAATATATTTGAGGTCTATGCGCCTGATGATGACTGGTTAGCTCTATTTGGGAATGAAGGCCTGTATGTAAAGATTTAGTTAGAAAATATTTCAGGAGCTCATGAAAGAAGGCCTATTTTCCTGAATAGTATGCCAATTCCGAATGTAAAAGCTCACACAGGAGAGAGAAACATGGACAAATGGGCAACACTGTGGGTTTTCCACTAGAGCTGTATTTCTCAAAATCAGGTGTGTAAGATACCATCATCACACTGTGGGGGTTTGGGACTGTTAAACTGAAAACACTATGCTCCTTTCCAAAAAGTTACCACTTTCTCTCAACCATGTTCAGTGTAAACCATTCTCTCACCTGCTCCATTTGTCTAAATATTGGAGACACCTTGTAAAATAAAAATAAAATTGTAACACTTACCAGCTGTAGTATTGGTTGGAGTTCCAAATGTGAAAGTGGCCTTTGTTGGCTGCTCCGATTCCTTCTCAGATGGTTTTGCCATACTGAAACTAAAGGTGGACTTTGAAGAACTCTCATCTTTGGTTTGCTCTGAATTCCCAAAGGAAAACACTGGTTGACACTTTGGCTCTTCACTGTCAGCTTTCTTCCCAAACACCAGAGAAGTAGAAGTGACTGGCTCCTGCTGTTTCTCTTCTGTCCTTCCCAAAACAAACAATGAGGCAGATGGCAGAGGGGCAGGTTCTATACCACCGAAAGTGAACCCTCCTTTGGCGGCAGGCATTTCTTCTTTTTTTGCTTCTGTCGTCTTACATGTGAAAGGAGCCACTGAAACACTCTTGGTTTCTATGGTTCCAAAGCTGAAGCTGCTCTTATTCTCGGAGGTCACTGTGGTGTTAGTAGCAGCAGGTGTGGAGTTAATAACACCTGTACCAAAGCTGAAGCCTACAGATGAAGATTTAGGCGTTTCCTCTTTCTTTTCTGGCTGTCCAAGATTAGACACCCCAAACTGAAATGGAGCTAACGAAGTTGTATTACTTAAACCAGAAGAAAGTCCAAATTTAAAATCATTATCATTCTTATTGTCTTTTTTAGCTTCTTCAGGTTTAGACTCAGATGAAACTCCAAATTTAAAATCTCCTATTGGTTTAGAAAATTTAAAGCCTTCACTCATGGAGTTTGGAGCCTCAGAATCTGAAGACACTCCTATTTTGAAGCCTCCCTGATCTCCAAACTTAAAATTTCCAGTGCTTGTTAAAGTCTGAGAAGGCCCAGAAGAGGATGATGGGATACCAAATTTGAAGGATGAAGCTGCTGGGTTTGAAGATGAGGAAGATGTGCCAAAGCCTTCAAAATATAAAAGACATCGAATTAATGTTATCCTCTCAAACAAAATGTACCCCTGAAAAGCAAAGGGACAAAAGAATAACAACTCTGGAAAGGCCTTTGAAGAGTTATCAGAAATGGCCATAAAACATGAACCAGCTGCCCAAAATTCAGCAGGAGAATCACATCTTAGTCCTCACAACTATACATACTGACATACCACTTTTCATCCATGACACTGGCCGAGATCAAACAAATTTGATAAAACAGTGTTGGTGAGGAGTCTAGAACTAACAGACACTTTATACATTACAGGTAGATGTGTAAATTAGTACAAAATTCAAGGAAAGCAACTGTCAGTATTTACTAAAAATTACAAACACACGTATCCTTTGACCCAGCAATTCTACAGCTAACTATGTACATACGTATTTATTTATTTAAAAGAAAGGCGGACTGCCACATGCAGGGCCTCATTTGGATGTGTCTGGATGGAGCCTTGGAAGCTTTACTGTCCTATATTTTCCTACAAACGGACCTTGATAGCTTGTCTGGAGGTCCTAGCAGGGAAGCACAACTACTCGTATACCCTTGAGCACACAGCTTGGGAAGGGTTGTATGTGGAGATGTGAGGGGAGGAGGGGACACCGCCTAGCCAGCCAGAAGATTGTCCTTACATCCTAAGTCTTTACTTTTTTTTCCCCTAAGTCTTTATTTTGAAGATAAACTCACAAACATGCAAAATGCCACATGCAATCCCAGGCAGCTGTGAATGAAGAACAAAGATGTGTCCAAGCTAATCTACAATAAAAATCAAGGGAGCAGAAAGGCAGTATGATATACAACATTTTCTAACAAAACAGAAGGAAAGAAGAATACACAGAATAAGAAAATATTTGCTTGTCATATGCATAAAGAAACTTTGGAAGAGTTTTAAGAAACTAACCAGTTATTACCTCTGGTGGGGGAGGAAAGATGGAAAATGAACCAATGGGAACAAGAGGTAGACTTTTCACTGTGAATCCTGTCATAATTAGAGTTTGAAATCTTGTGAATAAATTTGTTATCGAACATTAAAAAAGAAAACTTTACCATCAAAGAACCAAAAGAACTGCATGAACAGAACCAGTACTTAAAAAGACAAACAACAATATGTTGACAAGATTAAAGTCTTAGTTTCCTAGTACTTCAATGTAGCTGAGTAAACTAGAAATGAAGTAACTGATTGGCTCAAAACAGGAATCATTCAAGGGTCAAGACATTTATCCATTACTTTGCCTACCCAAGTATAGAGACAAATGACAGCCAAGCTTTAAAAGCCCTCTTATCTTCAAACTCTGCCCCTTTAGAGACGACCCATTCCTTTCTTTCCCTAAGAAACTGAAAAATTATCAGAATTTGAGAAGCAAGCAGTATTCCACACGGTCTTTAAATATCTTCAGTCATATTAGACAGAAAGCTGAAAATGAAGGGGCCAGAGACTGTAATTAACTTATCACCTCTGCCTCAGAGAGACAGATTTGAAGGTATGGTGATTACAGTACAACAGGTAAAGAACAAAGAAAAACGGCTACATAATGACCTCAAGAGGACTGGAAAGTAGTGATCTTCTAAAACACCCAAATGCAGTGTTTTGTTTTTTGTTTTTTTGTTTTTTTAAATTTACTTTCTGGGAGAGAGAATGAGAGAGGGCACAAATGGGTGCAGGGGAAGGGCAGATGGAGAGAGAGAATCTCTTCAAGTCGATGGCATGCTCAGTGCAGAGCCCCAACACAAACGAAGAGTCAGACACTCAGGCGCCCCCTCCCCACAAATGCAGTGATTTTCAAACCAGTTGTGTGTCCCTTTAGCCATGTGATTAATTTAGTGGGTTCCAACCAACATTTTTCTTCTAAAATGAAAAAGAATCTAAACAGGGTGACTTAAACATACTAAAGGGTAAATACTGGTTTGTGATACTTTTCTTTCAATCATATAGACAAATACCATGTGCATGTGGTAAGTCACAATGTAAAAGTTTACTGACTGGTTTCCACTCAATGTTTGAAAGCCGCTATCCAGGACATGGTTACAAGCTGATGAAGCTTGGCATTCCTTTTCTAATGCCCTCATGGTCTCCACCTTAGAGGCCTCCTCCCTTACAGATTATAATGTTTCTCATCTCTCTCTCTGATTGTTCCTTCAGATCTAAAATCTCTTTCCTGGCTTTTATCAAAATTTTGACTGAATTGTACCTCATATGAAATACTCAGTAAGTCACAGAGGACTATGAAGACTTGAAAAACTTGGCCTCCAGAGGCAGTTTAGAATGAATTGTTTTTAGAGGTTCTTCCTTTATGAAACAAAATATGAAGAGAATTCTTTTTCTGGGACATTCTCTGGGAAACCAAAGCCCAAGTCTAGATTACTTACAACAAAGTTCTCGGGGCATAAATTCCCAGTCAGATAAGAGTCAGGAAGCCAAAGGTTTGTTAACAGTTAAAAACAAATTATCTGCAACTCTCTCCGAGTCAATGCAAGACAGAATAACCCCTTACCAGCTGCAGAAAAAGATACCTCACTGCTGACACTGAAATCACTTATCTTTACAGTAACTCTGAGAGCTGAGCTAAAAGTATCCAGAACATTATCTCATTTTACATGAATTTTCAATAGAGAATGAGCAATTTTAAAACTGAACGTGTTTGCAAATATTTCACTTTAAAATGGCAGTACAATGAGGCACTGTACCAACGCCTTACCTTTAAACTCAGATTTCGTTCCGGGCTTTGCACTCTCACATGCCACACATTTGGTAGCATCTGTTTTATTCTGCACCAGGCAGATTTCACAGTCCCAACTGCCCTCGGGTTTCTTGAACTTGTCTAACCCCAGGCAGCTTCCAGATGACAGAGAGGCAGGGACAGTGCTGCTACTTGAAGCAGGTACCAAACTTCCTAAAAAAAAAAAAAATAGTGAGGAAACACATAAAAATTCTAATTCATATTTATGTCACTATCTTAAGGCACCATTAAGTCTATATGTTCCATTAGTGTTTCCTATTAAGACAAAGTGCCAGAAATACAAACTTTACACTGTTAAAAACAGTATAGATAGTTCAGATTTCTTTTAATCTTAAAAATAAGTAACTCACATTCACCTTGCCTAGTGACGAGCTCCCTCTTAACCCAAAATGTGAATAATTGTGGTTTAAAAAAAAAAAAATGCTGAGAAATCAGAGACTAAAAGGTCCTTAAGAATCTTTTTTTTGTCCTTAAGAATTTTTGTCAAATCTCTTCAAACAGCACAGCATTTTAACATATAAATTATAGGCAATATCCTAACACATAAAATACATAGCCACAGACCACTTTAATTTCAAAGGCCAGGTCTCTGCCTTTGAAATATCATTTTGGCACAGAATTTCCTGCCATTGGTTAGAACCCAGTCATTTAACAGACACTTACTAGAAGTACCATAATATACCACAGTACTAAGGATATAAAGATGAATGAAATGCTGCTTAACTTCTGAAAGTGCTAACGGTCTAAAAAGGGGGAAAGCAAAACAAATGTATAATAGCACCATCACCAAAATGCAAAGTGATAAATGAGAAAAGAAGGAAGAGATGACTAAGGGGCAAGAGAAGAACCAATTTACAGAGGTGACATTTAAATCTTTATGCAGAACTAGCAGGTTTGTAGGGAGTGGAGGTGGCATGGGAAGGACGGCTCCACAAAGCCATCATGAAGCAAGTGCGTTACTACAAATGGAGCCATCCATTCTGGCCATCTCTACACGTTCTCCATGTCACCTCTCCCAACTACCTGGTGTCTCTTCCACTGTCATGTTCTCTCTCTTGCCAAGAAAACTGCTTCCTGAGGTTCCATTTTCAGTCCACTGTCCTCACAAGTCTCATCACCAACAAAACCACTTCCTACCCTGTACCTGTGGCCAGCGCACCTGAGCTTCAGCTCTGTGGTCTCCCTCTTAGCTGCAGTACCCCTGGCCAGCTGGACAGCGAGGCTGGATGGCTCTGCCTTCTGCACGTTTCTCCCATCCGTTCCATTCCCTTTCTGAACCTACTAGCACTGCCCTATGTCAAGTGGCCCTCAGCTCTTGCTTGCATAACTTGTTGAGGCCTCCATTCTCATTCCCTGAAGTCCATTCTTCTAAGAAGCAAAATCAGTGCCATGTAGTTTTGGGTTTTCCTCCCCAGTCCCTCCTTTAAAAGATTAATGGTGGGCAGCCCGGGTGGCTCAGCGGTTTAGTGCCACCATCGGCCCAGGGCATATGATCCTGGAGACCTGGGATCGAGTCCCATGTCGGGCTCCCTTCATGGAGCCTACTTCTCCCTCTGCCTCTCTCTCTCCCATGAATAAATAAAATCTTTAAAAAGTAAATGAAATAAAAATAAAAATAAATAAAATTAAAAATTAAAAATTAAAAAAATAAAATAAAATAATAAAATAATATAAAATAAAATACAATATTAACTGTTCCAAAGTTTTGTTCCTGCCACTCCCCATAAGCTAACAGAATGGTTTCGTTCCTGCCACTTCCCGTAAGCTAACAGAGTTCAGTTTTAGGCCAGTCCCTCACTTCACATCCATCTCTGCTCCCATCTCTTATTTGAAAACTAGAGCCTAATGACTCCCAAATTTGTATTTCCAGCCCTGAACACGCATGTGTAATGTATCTAAAGGCTTTGCATTTATGTGCCAACTTCACACCTTCAAATCAACCATGTATTATTCTACATCCTGATTTGACTCCCTTAGTATCTCCATTGCCATGATCTTTGCCCACATGTACTCCTGATACATCCTCATCTGTCCTCTGGTCTCCAAATTTTGTTACCTTCAAATCTATCCTCCAAAAAGCCACGAAGCAATTTGTCAAACATACAAATTTAACTGGATCACTCCTCTGCTTATAATGATGGTTCATCATTTACAAGATTGAAGCTGGACTGCTTGAATAAATTTTTGAGCTTCCTTTATTTGTGGAAGGAATTTACTTTCTAACTCAGTTTTATTCTCCCAATCAACTCAGAATTAATTTTGGTTTCTTCCACAAGCAAAGGTTTGCTTTTTTATTTACTTCTTTTTTTAGGTGAGGAGGAGGAATGCCACATAGAAAAAGAAAGTTATTTCAGAATGAAGATTCTGAAATCTTATTCTTGTGGACATGTCCAGTAAGAATTAGAAATAAGGCTCACCTCTTGTGTTCACACATTGGGTATACAGGTTAACAAATCAAGAACTTTCCATTGCAGACATAAAAACTATATATCCATGAATAATGCAATAAAAAAGTAAGTATGATTCCGATAATATTCTTAACATTTTTACTTAGTACCCATGTTACCATATATCTATACCAAATAATTATATATTATAAAAACAGCAGAGTCCTTTCCAGTTGTGAATTTCCAATAACTTTTTCAAATTAGAACAGAGAAACAAAAAACTCAAATCTAACTCCATGTTTTTTACTGCCAAGTTAGATTCAGTAATTTACTATCATTGCAACATCTTGGCAGAGACCACACAGGTATAGGTATCACCATTAACATTCAACAACGGTCTTTTCACAAAGCAGTATTGTCTACTTCCTGGTGAAACCTTCTCTGGAATGACCACTTGCCATCCTCACTTCTAAACAGAGATAAAGTGGTGGTTGTTTTGGGAACAACTGTCCCTTTTAAGATCTTTCAGCTTCTGTATTAGTCAACTTTGAAAATGATCACGAAGAACAAGTAGTTTCTGACAAAAATATATGTAAAAAAAAGAGGTACAAGTATATATTGGGCTGGCTAATGCACCACCTAAGATAAAACACAGATCCAGCCTCAGGCAAGTCACTTGACCTCAAGATAGCTTAGGCAAATGAAGATGTATGAGGAAATGCTCATCCTGACACATTACAAACATTAAGGTGGTTCTTAGCAGACAATACATTTAAAATGTCCTACCAAAATAATGAGCAAACTTTTCCCAAAGAGCCATACACGTACCTGGTTTCTCAGACACACAGGACACACATTTACTGTCTTCTCCATTATTAAAAACACAGCATACTGGACACTCCCAAGATCCCACAGGCCTTTTAAACTGATCTGCAAACCCTAAGGCAGCAGTGGTCACAGTGCTGGTGGCCGATGAAGCAGCCGCAGTCACGGCGCTCTCTGAGGCTGCAGGCAACGTAAGGACTCGCTTAACACCAGTCCCAGGCTTCGGTGTTTCACAGGCCACGCATTTTATCGCTTCGGGTTTATTCTGCACTAAGCACGTATCACAATCCCAAGTGCCTACTGCTGGTTTAAATTTGTCTCCGAAACCTGTCCCTGATGCAGAAAGAGCTGATTTGTCACTTTTACTTGGTGTTCCAATTCCAGTTTGTTTATTAGCATTATCTTTTGGCGGCAATTTTGTTGCTTGGCAGGCTACGCACTTGCTGTCTGTAACTTTGTTCTGGAGTAGACAAGTATCGCACTGCCATGATGATCCAGCTTTTAAACTTTCCCCAAACCCGATGCCACTAGAAGAAAAGCTACTTATTGCTGGTCTTGTATAAACAACTGGGCTTGTGGTAGTAGGCTGAGCAGCAAGAGAATCTGCCTTTGGTGATATGAAACCTGTAAGGAGGGAAAGAGGAGAGTGTAAGGAAAAAAAAAGTTAAGGAAGCTTCCTAATCAGAACATGATCTGAAATGCTATTATTGGGAGAACATATATTTATATACATTTATACAGTTACTAAAATTCAACATGGACTACTTAAAAGTAGAGTTTTTACCTAAGCAATATTTAATAACCATGTAATTAATAAGTGACACTTAGGCCTCATTAAAATTCTTTAAAAGATGTTTTGTTTACAGTTTATCACCTTTTTCCTTTAGGAATTTCTACTTACTATAATTCAACCAATATCTAATTTGAGGCTTTAATTTGTAGTATTTTACTGACACGTACCACTGTCATCCATGTTTTTACAACACTCTGCTTTGCTACACGAATATACAGTACATTCATAGCCTTCCTCCCTCATCTATTTTTTCCTTCAGGTGTTCCTGGCTATGCCAAATGTCTTCAACATCTATAGTATTTGAATTTTGTCCAGTTATAATCCACAATTGTGGTATCCTCTACTTTCAGTAAAAATCAGCAGAGTTGCATAGGTACACATATTAGACAGATGTCCCTCCAAAGTACAATGGAGTGGTAGGGATTGGTTTTAATTATACTAAGCTTATACAGAACTTTAAAATGGTAGTGGTTCAATGAGAATTATAATGACAAATTCCAACAGAGATTAACCAAACCATCTGGCAAGCCCTAGAAATAACAGAAATGATGAAGACCCAGTCTACTCGGGCAGAGCATGAATTCATGCTACTCAGAAACATGCCCATGGAATGTTAACCAAACCCTACTTCAAACAAACTGTCTCAAACAGTTCTCCTTTAACATTGTAAGTATACATTTTTGTAACCACTATGTACTTAGACAATTAAGGTTATTCACACAGAACCACGGAACAACAGGAGTTGAAAAAAAGTCTTCATGCTACCGAAACTGCTGTCATTGAATTGGGTTGATTCACTCCAACTTTATTCTTGAGAATGACCTTCCTTCCAATTCTTTACCTTGGACCAATTAATCTTTGTTTTATATATACCAACAAACTCAGTGACCTGTTTGTCCAGCTTTTAACACCAAAGGAAAAAAATTGCAGGGTAAGATAGAACAGAAGACTATTAAGAGATCTTCTAGTGCTACAATTAACTCAATCTTGAGCTAGTTTTAGCCAAAAGGCAAAACACGCACATACTTCAGTACTCCCAGTGGTCTAAAATGTACTATCTTGTTAATGATTGATCTGCATCACTAAGGTTAGCACAACTGTAACAGTAACTATCTCAAGTAACTATCCTTTCCTTCACCTTTCTCAGGTTTTCCTAATTTCCCTCAAAAGAACACAGGACTCCTCCAAATTCTTGCTATTTAAGGAAAACTGAAAGGGGGAAGGGCACCATGAATGCAGAGATCAACGGTAGGAATGCAAGGCCTCTCTACTACTCAGTTAATTCTAGCCCAGGCACTCTGGAGTGCTGCCTCAACTATGCCAAATTGTCTAAGTTACTGGGACTCTTGTAGCCAGAATACTCATCTCTAAGATGAGAAAGCCACACCAAAGAAACCTAATCCTCCTAAATCTTGTTGTAGAAGCCAATCTTACCTGAAAATTCTTATTCAATTAGACACAAACACATCTTATCTGTTCAGTAAATCTAAATTCTCTCTGAGCAACTAGATCACCTTATAAACACTTTTACATTCCTACAGCAGACATCACAAATGGAGTTGTAGCCGTCCCGATTTTCAAACTGAAAACTTATTCCTACTTGAGGACTTCTAGTCACTGCCTTCAAGTTATTTCTATACGCTCACAAATCCTGTTTCAAGCCAGCCCTGTCCCTTACATATACCTATGTTAGATTCAGCAAATGTTTTCTTTCTGCATGGCCTTGTTTTAATAGACCACAACTGAGCAATGATCTAAGAACAAGGTGGTTCAACATTCTCAGAGAAAGGTAATGTCCAGGCATATCAATCAGGTTTGTTTACTATTATTTTCCATATTAGTCCATCTCTTCTAAAAGGCAATTCATTTTCTCCTTCTACACTTCACTTCTTTTCTCCTGTTATACTTGCCTCTTAAGAAATTTCATATTAAGACAGTCCTTGAATTCTAAAGGAGAATTCCTAAGGTATTTACACCAAAAGAATTACATCTGACTACATCTACTTTCAAGTCAATAATTTTTTAAAAACTTAAAGTATACCAAAAATGACTTTAAAATAGGATCACGAATTTGTAATTAAGATATTAGAGTATTTCAAAGATAGCTGTTATCTTACCAGGACTTTTGAGAACATCTAGGACACTTCCTTCTTTCAGGGTTTTTGCAGGTGTAAAAGGGCCCTCAAAATCTTCATCTGGCTTCTTCTTACAGCTTGTACTTTTCACTGCACTGATATCTTGAGCTGCAATTTTTTTAATTGTAAAAGACATCATGCTAAGAAAATGCACTGGATCAAGTTAAATGTATTAAAAGATCTTTCAAAGCCAATTTGGACCAACTTCAAAAACATCATGAAAAAGTCACTGTAATTCAAAGATAATAAACAAATTTACTTAACAGTACAGGGTTAGTTTACCTTATAAGAAAGTAGAGATACTATTTCCCATACTGTACACTGTACATTCTTCCCCTCCAAAAAGGCAAATAGTATAAACTATAATTGTTACCCAGTGAATTAACTGGTAATCAAGAAAATCAAACTGAAACACTGGAGAAGATATGACCAAGAGCAAGCTCATAAACTGCACAAAATGTGTTTCTGCTTATACAACTTATAATATTGAGCAAAAAAAACCCTTAACAAGGAGTACTCAAACTGAGCCAGTTATTTCATTTCTAGAAATTCATCCTATGATTCAAAGTATCCTTCAGTTATCATACTGAAAACATGGATGATAAATGCTCACTATGGGACTGAGTATACCAATCAAAACACCGGCATGGTGTAGTGCTAGGCAGCCACAGAAACCATCCTTAAATGCATAGTTCCAGATAAAGGCAAGTTAGAAAGTCCAGAACATTTTGAATGAGACATCTAAAAAGTAATGGTGGCTGCTAGTGATGAATGGCTTTTTACTGCTGCTTCTTTTTAGGTTTCCTAAACTTTCCAAAATGAACATATATTAAATAGGAAATCTATATTTTCAGTATGAAAATAGCTTTGTAGTTATATTTTTAAGGGAGAAAGTTTGTTTACAGATGAAAGTATGTGTGGTATTGTTTCAATACAACCTCATATTGGTGTATTGTTGTGCATGAGAAGGGAAGGGGGAATGAGAGGAAGAGAAACAATATTAGTCAAAAAAACCTAAGTGTTGAAGCTGGGTAAAGAGTACACTGGAATTCAGTCTGCTAGATCTGGAAATGTTTGAAATTTTTCCATAATAAAATACAAATAACCAAGTTTTTTAAGTGCTTGCCAATTTAAAGGAGTGGGTGAAGTAGTTTCAAAAAATCCTACCTACCCCTATACCCCTATCTCATGCCATAAACAAAAATTTACCCAAAATAGATCAATGAGAACATGAGAACTAAAACCGTAAGAGTTTTAGAAGAAAACTAAGGAGGTATTATCTTCATGACCATGGATTTGGCAATGGATTCTTAGATACGACTTCAAAAACAAAAGCAAAGAAAAAAATTATACTATCACATCAGAAACCTTTGTGAATCTAAAGGTGAAAAGACAATTTACTGAATGAGAGAAATTATTTGTAAATCATATATCTGATAAGGATGTAGTCTCCAAACTATATAAAAAGGCTTAGATCTCAGCAACAGAAAAATAAACAACTTAAAAATGGGCAAAGGACTTAACAGACATTTCTCCCAAGATTAAAGGACCAAGAAGCACTTGCAGCACCATTTGTCATTAGAGAAATCCAAGTCAAAACCACAACGAAGCATCACTTCATACACACTAGGATAGCTATAAACAAAAAATGAAAACTAAGCATGATGAGAATGTGGAGAAATTAGAATCCTCATACACTGCTAGTGGGAATGTGAAAGGAGTCAGAGGTTGAGAAAAATAACTTTGTGGTTAAAAGTTACACTTAGAACTACCATTTGACCAGCAACTCCAGTTCTAGATATATACCTCAAAACACTGAAACTAGTATTCAAACAAATACATGTACATGAATATTCATACCAGCACTGTGCACAACAGCCAAAACCTGGAAACAGCCCATATATCCATCAATGAATGAACAGAAAAATTACGGTATATCCATACAATGGAATGTCATTCAGCCATAAAAGGAGTGAAGTATTGGTGCACCTAGTTGGCTCAGTCAGTAGAACATGTGACTCTTAAACTCAAGGTTGTGAGTTTAAGTCCCATGTTGGGCATGGAGCCTACTTAAAATAAAAAATAAATTAAAAAAAAAAAAAGAGTGAAATACGGATACATACTATAACGTATAAACCTTGAAAACAGTTAAGTAAAAGAAGCTAGGTGCAAAAAAAAAAAAAATCACATTGTATATTCCAGAACAGGTACATACATAAAAACTAAACACCACTGACGGTTGCCAGGAAGTGGGGAGAGAAGAGATACAGAACTACTGTTTAATAGGTACAGGCCTCCTTTCAGGGAAATGGGTATTTTGGAACTAGACAGACTGTGGTAGTTGCACAGCATCATGAACATACTAAACACCATGATTTATTTCATCTTACGTTAATTTCACCCCAGTAACAAAAATACACAAGACACAAAACACTGTGCTGTGTCAAAACAAACCATATGGGACACATGGGTGGCTCAGTGGTTGAGTGTTTGCCTTCAGCTCAGGTCATGATCCCAGGGTCCTAGGATCGAGTCCTGCATTGGACTCCCTGTAGGGAGCCTGCTTCTCCCTCTGCCTGTGTCTCTGCCTCTCTTTCTGTGTTCTCTCATGAATAAATAAAATCTTAAAAAAAAAAAAAAAAAAAGCATATACTTGTAGCACTTTTTGTCTATCCTTCTTTAGAATCAAAACTGAATTGCTTTTAGTAACTTAAGGTAAATTTTAAGGATACCTTGCAGTATACTCAAACTAACGGAAAAAGAAGATTATGAAAAATTAGCTCCTGCCACAAAGTAATAATGACTTACACATTTTCAATTTTTTAATGACAAAAGTGGTGAAAATCATTCCCATAATTCTATATATGTCACTCCTAAAAAATGACTTAAAAATCTGGATAATTAAAAAAAAAAAAATCTGGATAATTTCCCCAGATGTGATGAAACACAAAAGTTGTCTTAACAAACTGCTGCTTATCCAGTTACCATTAGTAATGCATTAGCAAAAACCAGGAAGGATTTTCATGCCTTTCCTCATAACCAGGCATGAAAATGGTAATTTGTAGAAGTTTATTCCTTTATGAATTCAGTCACATTGAAGAAAAAAATCTTGTAAAAAGTTTACCTGAAACATCCTTATTTTCTCTAATTCCTGCACCCCTGCATTTGCTATTTATCTGAATAAAATGTCCTTGCTCAAAAATTCTTGACTTGAGTAAATAACTTAACCCAGATGATTCTCCACTTCCTAAATAGCAAACACTTGAAAAAAAACTACCACTATCACAACAAAATCCTAGGATTTAATTATCTAATGACTCACTTCTTTCCCTCAATTACACCCATTCCTTGAGTCCAGAAATTATGAGTCACTATTTGCAAGGCCAGCATAATCCTTGTACATAAAGGTTGTGAACCGAACACTAAGCCTAGAGATGGAGTTGACTGCAATTACAACTTTACCTCAATAAGAATGTAGACAACCCGTGAATTTCTTAGAGATTTCATTTACAATAAACTGCCACCTTAATTAAACTAAGACAATGGACACATCTGCTGCCATGACTATCCCTATCATAACCAAACTATAGCATTTCCATTTAGTAAGCTAAATGTTTCTGTGAATAGAGACAAAAAATATTGTCAAGGGTTGATACTAGCTCCTATTTGCTTTCTAGAGCTAATTTCATTCAAATGAAAGAATTTAGAAGAACTGCCAAAGACTAAAGAACTTGAAATACTAACCTAATATAATGCAACTATTTTTATGTAAAAACGTGTGAGAAGTTTTTACTTACCTGAACTACTACTTGTAATTGGTTCTGAAATACTACTAGAGCTAGAAAGTTCTGTGGTTTTTGCAACAGGCACACTGAATGTAAATCCAATCTGTAAAGAGAAAATGTATCTTTTTAAGTCTGTCTAGTTTTAAACAAATAATAGCTTTTTCTTATTCCAAGTTAAATAAATCTCCCGTTATTCCAGCTTTTTGTATTTTACAATCTCTAAAATTGAGATGCTTCTCACAATAGTGTGTGTGTTAAATCAAACAGCATTTTTCATTTCTTAGGTTTTTTTTTTCTTTTTCATTCAAAGCAGTACATAAGATAATTATATGCTCCTAAAGCTCAGTTCTGGATTTCTAAATACCATTTTCTAATAATATGAGACTTGATAGACAATGGACAGGTTTCAGGCATGCGGTAGGGAAATTACAAAATGCTCTGGAATATCCAGCTGTGTCAGAAAACAAGAGCACAGTGAAAAAGAGAAGGCAACATGTAAAAACGATATGCATGCCAAAAATGCATGGGGCAACTTGAACATTTAAACTTATTATTCTCCCCAAAATATTTCTTTAATTATGAAGAAACGAATACATACTATGAGGCTTAAAACCCCAAAACTTCTCCAGATTAAAGGCAATTCAAGAAACATGTTAACCAGATGCCATGCAATTCAGCTGATTAGGTCTTAATCTTAATTGGATCTAGACTCAAGAGAAACAAAATAGTAATTAAAAGGACAGTCTAGGGCAATGAGAAAATCTGAATATGGCCTACATTAATATTATATTATGTTAAATTTCATGGATAGGGTAACTGGACTGTGGGTATGCAAAGAAATGTCCTTTTTCTTAGCGGACATATGGAAAAGCTGTGTTTATATCTTAACTTTCAAATGGTCATGAGAAAATATATATGCTTATATGTATAAAGAGTGGAAAATATACAGGTGTTCACTCATTCAAGTTTTCTGTACACTGAAATTTTTTTTAATTGGAAGAAAAATAATAGTATTTCTTAGCACCAATGGCACCTTGGGTTTGATAAAAATACAGTATGCTTCTGAAATCAATCATTCCTTGCTTGCTACTTACCGATGATGGAGGTAGTACATCTGCCTCAGTAGATTTTACAATTGGAGATGAAAATCGAAACATGGGGCTGCCAGTGCTATTTGGAGAGGTCATTTGTACCTGGTTTTCCAAATTATTAAAATAATACAAAAAGATTTTTAGAAAAAAGAAACTGACAGTAAAATAGACCTTAAGCAAATTATTTCAAAGAAGCCAAACACAATTTCCTTCTAGATTTAAAAAATCATTTGTTAAGGGGCCCCTGGCTGCCTCAGTCAGTGGAGCATAGGACTCCTGATTTCGGGGTTCTGTGTTCCAGTCCCCACTCTGGACATAGAGATTACAAAATAAGATCTTTTCTAAAAATAAAAATCACTTGTTAAAACTTCTGAAAAATAAACTGTAACTGTTATAAAATCTGGCTTCTCCTTGGGAGAGGAGTATACACTATTTAGAGGTGTATATATCTGACTAAAGGAAAAAAATACCACCTATAAGAATATGTTCAGAAATAGTAAAATTCAAGACAAAAGCATAAAACATTTCAGGAGCAGTTAATCCTACCTGAGAAATAAAAACAAAAGTCCATTCTTACCCCCAAAAAGCATCTTAATTGGAAAAAATGTTTGGAAACAAACTTATTACAGTGATCAGTCACTAAGGCACAGCATCAGAATTAAAGAGCACTCCTTTATAACAAATTTTAAAAAGCAAAACACCATTTCCATTTTTCTCTTATTTTGAGTTATTTCCATAGTAGGAACTTATCATTGCTTTCAACAGAATATTAGATTTTTCTTAAAACAACAAAAATCACCCCTATATCTACAATGGTTTTGTACCTTGTTTGTTAATGATTGCGAAGGACTAATGGTTGCTGGAGAGGAAGTTGTGATCACAGAGGAACTAAAATTGAAGGTAGGCAGTGAAGAACTGGTGATGGGTAGAGAGATTTTCGGCAATACTGGTACTTCCGTTTCCTAAAACGCAACATGTTTCATGTCATTCTTCTATCCCTACTTATTTTCAAGAAGAACTGATATAGTAACACATAAACTGAGAATAGGGAGAAGTTAGCACCACACAGTGTTAACAATGTGGGCTCCAAAATCAAAAGAACTCAGCCAAGATCTGAATGCCAGCTGTGCCACCACACACGGTGGCTTTGTGAACCTAACTGCCCTCAGTACCAATTTACTAAGGGCTGAAAATGAGAAAATACACTAGCTGTATATTAATATAAAACAAAGTTATATATGGGTTTGGCGTATAAAATAAGCATATAATAGACATCAGTACTGATGAGTTTGGTGAAATGCCTGGTTTTTTACCCCAAGTCTTAGTCTAGGTTGAGGGCAACAAGAGTCCTGACTCTGGCTAATGGTAGACGAGTTGGTTATCTGACCAATGACCTGACAGATAACAATCGTAAACTCTGAACAAAATAGAAAGAAATAAGCATGTGAAAGAAACTGGAGAGTGACCAGAAGCAAGCAGAAACTGTAGAGATTAAAAAACACTTGGAAAAAGCGAGGGGCACTGACTGAGCTTCCTGTCCTCTATGAGCTGGTGCCACTGCATAGTTGAAAGTCTGAAGAAAAAAAAAACAGCAAATCTGTTCACTGAGGAGTCAGAGGATGGACTAGGTGACCATAACAACTAGAAAGTGAGGGGAAAGTGCAGGACTGAGGAGCATATAAACCTGCATGTGAAACGTCCGGGTTTCTAGCAGACATGTAAGTTGTTCGTGTATAAAGCAGACGCCAAGAAGCCAACTTAGGCTGAAGAGCTCCAGCTGCCACCCACCACAAATGAGAGAGTCTGACTTAAGGTAAATTCCCCGCCAACTAAAGCTATCTGAATATTTCAAATGGACATCATTTATGGCACAGCAATCACACCTCTGTAAAATCAAGCCCTCTCCCCAAAGGAAAAATAAAGATGCTTTCAGATTAAAAAAAAAGAAAAAAACTACAAAAAAAAAAAAAGAAAGAAAGAAAAAAACCTAGGACAAGCTGTTGCCATAAAACCTGCTCTACAGGTTCTTCAGGGTGAAGGGATAGGACACCAAATGGAACTCAGGTTTCCTGAAGAAATGAACAGTATGTCAGCAAACACAAACTTTCATTTCCCTTAATTTCTTTAAAATACATACAACTGTATAAAGCAAAAATTACATGCTGTGATTAGCCAGCCTATCTAATTTTAATACAAATGACAAGAATAATCTAAAATACCAAGGAAGAGGGGAGGTAAATCAAACTAATAAAGTTGCAAGATTCTTAAATTTTACAGGAAGTGGTACAATATTAACACAAAGTAGAATTTGAAATTTAAGGATACATATCATAATCCCAAGACGAACCACTAAGTAACATGAAGAGGTAGAGATAAAAAGCAAAGTAATAAAATGTAATTCTAACAAATAATCAATTAACCAAAAGAGGGCAGCTTTCAAAAGGAACAAAAGAAACAAAAAACAAATGGGAAAACTAGAAAACAAAAGAAAAATGGGAGACTTTAATCCAACCACATAATTACATTAATTATAAATACTTTGATTAAAAGGCAAAAAGTAGGTAAAAGGCAAAATTCACCTATATATTGTCTAATAGAAACTCACTTTTTTGAAAGATTTTATTTATTTATTCATGAGAGACAGAGAGAGGCAGAGACCTAAGCAGAGGGAGAAGCAGGCTCCCTCTGGGAAGCCTAATTAGGAACTTGATCCCAGGACCCTGGGATCACAACCTGAGCCAAAAGCAGACACTCAACCACTGAGCCACCCAGGCGCCCCTACTAGAAACTCACTTAAAGATATGGGTTAGGAAAAAAAAAAAAAAAAAAAAGATATGGGTTAGAAGCAAATGGATGGGAAAAAAGATACAACCTGCAATTCGCAAGCCTAAGAAGGCTTATTCTACTAACACAGTGGCTGGCTATATAAATACCAGTACAGCAGATTTCAAGACAAAGAATACTCCCAAAGATTTTTTTTTTTTAAAAGAATATTTAGGGATGCCTGGGTGGCTCAACAGTTGAGCACCTGCCCCTGGCTCAGGGTGTGATCCGCGGTCTCAGGATCGAGTCCCACATCGGGCTCCCTGCCTGGAGCCTGCTTCTCCCTCTGCCTACGTCTCTGCCTTTCTCTCAATTAGCAATAATTGCACCTCAGATAAACCTCATTGGCTACGATACTGCCACTGCGCAAAGCTCTGCCTTTCTCTGTCTTTCATGAATAAATAAATAAAAATTCTTTAAAAAAAAAAGAATATTTAGTAATATTAAAGTAAGCAACCAGGGAGGCATGACAGATGTAAGGCATATGCTTAAATGAGGGCTTCAAAGTATGTAAAGCAAACATTGACATAAGGACATTCACGAAATGAAAGGGGATAGTTTTAATTCCTATCTCTCAACAATTTAATAGACTAAACAGACACACTCCACACCCTGAAAAAAATTCAGTAAGAATAAAGATCTAAGAAATACTATCAGTCATCTGACACCTTATATTAACACTATACCAACAACCATAAAATACAGACTTCAAAAGATTCTTCAAGCAGACCATATGCTGGGCTACCAACAAGTCTCAATATATTTCAAAACATTAATATCAAAATTAAATAGTTCTAAATAATCCATGGATCATATAAGAAACCAAAAGGAAATCAGAAAAATACATAAAAACACTACTCTAAATCTTCTAGAAGAAAACACAGGGATTACTTTGTGGCCTGGGGATAGACAAAGTTTTTTTTTTTTTTAAGATTTTATTTATTCATGAGAGACACAGAGAGAAAGAGAGAGGCAGAGACACAGGCAGAGGGAGAAGTCGACTCCATGCAGGGAGCCCGATGTGGGACTCGATCTCAGGTCTCCAGGATCACATTGGCCGAAGGCAGGCGCTAAACCACTGAGCCACCCAGGAGTCCCAACAAAGATTTTTTAGGATAGAAAGAACAGTAAAAATAATTGAAAAGGCGGTGGGGGGGGGGGGGGGAGTGGGCAGTGGGTTTAGTTCAAAGAGCATGCAACTCTTGATCTCCCAAGAGAGTTATGAGTTTGAGCCCCACGTTGGAGGTAGAGATTACTTAAATATAAAATCTTTAAAAAATAATTTTTTAAAAAAGATAAATTCAGACTTCATAGAATTTAGAACATCTGATGATCAAAAGATACTGTTAAAAAACTGAATATGGAGACGCCTGGGTGGCTCAGAGGTTTAGCGCCGGCCTTCAGCCCAGTGCATGATCCTGGAGTCCCGGTATCGAGTCCCATACTGGGCTCCTTGAATGGAGCCTGTTTCCCCCTTTGCCTGTGTCTCTGCCTCTCTCGCGCTCTCTCTCTTTCTCGGTCTCTCATGAATAAATAAATAAAATCTTTAAGCAGCCAGACTAGGAGAAAATATTTATAAGACATGTATCTGACAAAGTACTTGGATCCAGAATCTATAAAGAACTCCTATAACCTGATAAGACAACAACTCAATTTTTAAAAGGGCAAAAGGGGCAGCCCAGGTGGCTCAGTGGTTTAGCGCCGCCTACAGCCCAGGGCGTGACCCTGGAGTCCCGGGTTCGAGGCCCACGTGGAGCTCCCTGCATGGAGCTTGCATCTCCCTCTGCCTGTGTCTCTGCCTCTCTCTCTCTTTCTCTGTGTCTCTCGTGAATAAATAAATAAAAATCTTTAAAAAAAAATAAATAAAAGGGCAAAAGATCTGAGGATACTTCAAAAAGGAGGTAATAAGCATATGGCCAAGAACACAACATTACTGTCTCAGGGAAAAGCAAAATTACAACGAGATAGCACCATATACAAAGCAGAACGGATAAAATTAAAAAGAGGACTACTTATTAATAGTAGAATTAAAGAAATGCCCATATGCTGTTGGTTAGAGTATAAAATCTTACATTCATTTTGGGAAAGTTTAGCAGTTTCTTAAAAAGTTAAACCCGTATCAGGGGGGCCTGACTGGTTCAGTCAAAAAACATGAAACTCTTGATCTTGGGGTTCTGAGTCTGAGCTCCATCCACATTGGGAGCAGAGATTACTTCATAAATTTTTTTAAAAAGTTAAAACACATATCAGAAAATGTAGCTCCTCCACTTTTAGGTTATTTGCCCCCCAAAATCAAGCAATTAAATCTCCCCAACTCGGGCAGCCCCGGTGGCGCAGTGGTTTAGTGCCGCCTGCAGCCTGAGGTATGGTCCTGGAGACCCGGGATCGAGTCCCACATCGGGCTTCCTGCATGGGGCCTGCTTCTCCCTCTGCCTGTGTCTCTGCCTCGCTCTCTCTGATTAAATAAATAAATAAATCTTTAAAAAAAAAAATCTCCCCGACTCAGTCATATTATATAATCATATATTCTGTATTGATGAGCTTCTTCATTATAAAAACCAAACTGGTCCCGGGTTAAGATCCCAAACGAGCGCCCCCCCCCCAAAACCAAACTGGTATCATAGTAGAGGCAAAATACCAAATGCTTAGTGATTAACAGAGTCCTTACAAATTTTGAGATCTAACAAAAAATGAGATAAACCATACTTCTACTATCTCATAATGCAAACTGGGTTATTTACAATATAAAGTTCTGTTAACCTGAATGTTTTAAGTAAATCAAAATATACCAATCCCTGCTACATACCAATAGTACCGGAGATGAGTATAATTTGTTTACACTCCACTAAAATTAAAATTACTTCCGTTGATCTATCCCAAAAGCCGACTAAGATACCCACAAAAATGAATATTCTATCCTTTATCGAAAGTTCCTATGAACTTTAACTGAATTAAGAACAACTAGTGGTCTAAACATTATTCGTCATCTGAAATAAAAACAGCACTGAATACAAAATAAGAAAGCATCTACCCAAAACCTATTCTACCTAGATTTTAAAAACACAGGGTAGGCAGAACGTTTGGGGCAGCCAGCCACCCCTCTTTCCTCAGAAATACAGAGACTCTAACTCCAGTGTGGAACAGAACTAGAGACAGGAGCTGAGTGAGGCATCCCGGGATGCAAGCTGGCAGTTGGCCAGAATGGAGAGGGGGCCCAGAGAAGGGAAGAGGTGATAAAGAGGCCTGGAGGCTTACTTTCATAAAGCTTCTCATCACAATTAGTATGCCAAAGTAACAAGAGCAAAAGTAAATCAATAAATTTCCACCCCCTCCTAATATCTTGATACAGTGAAATCATAGTAAACACCCATCTCTAAGACAGCCAAAATTAGCTACAGTGACCTGAACTTCACCTAAAGATCTTAGGAATATATTCTTAAAAGTTGAAACTGAAGGGAAACAAGCAGAATTCACAAATCTGTTATCTGGCAAACACCAAATAAAGATGTTTTCCTCATACAGGGATAAAGTTTAAATAAAAGACAGCTTAAAGACACAACTTTTACCAAGAAATATAAAAGCTCATCTAAACAACAGGCTGTATAATAAGCTATACTACTCAGATACTCATTTCTTTATGCATACAAAAAGCAAGACAAATAACCCATTTTAGAGGTAACTTAATCAAGTCTACATAAAGAGCTTCAATAAAATAAAATCGGTTTGCTAAGAAACATACAAAATGTTATATGCTGTATCATTACTGGCATTCAAAACCTTTTCTTTCAAGACGGTAGAATACATTAATACATTCCTTCCCTTCCCAACACTCCAGCAGGAGAGCAACAAGGAGAACCTCAAGACCAGCACCTGAGCTGAGACCCTAGTATAATGCCACATACCACAAGACAGGCGAGGGGGGGGGGGCAGAAAGTCCCAGCTGCCAAAGAAGTAATGGTTCTGAGGCCTTCACAAGGCACAACTATAGAATTGCTAAGCAGGAAAAGGGGAGAGAAAGGAAACGAAAATGAAAGACTGCCTACTCTAAATAAACTTGGGAAACATACCAAGAGACTAAGAAGGAAAGTGATACTAACTCGAACAGTAATTTCAACCAAAACATGACTTTAGAGTTAACAGGAACTGTTACAGAAAATGTTTAAAAAATCTAAAAACTCCTAAAAAACTCATGAGTCAATGAAGTAACCAATGAAATTTTAATTAGAAACAGACAAATGGAAGCATTATGTATCAAGACTTAAATGATCCCATTAAGCTGAAATTCACTTGTAAAAAGATTGAAAGGAGGTCTGCATGCAACTCAAAGTATTTAGAAAATAAATAGAGCAGCCTATAGAAAGAAAAGTTAATCTTTGATTAGTCCTCATGTTCTTCAAACTTTCATTTTCAGCATACAGAAATCTTTTAAAAAAATCTTCTTAATGAAAGAAATAATCCATAAAAAATGGATAAAGAGAGAAACCCCAAATAACCAAGGAACTCAGAAGAGGTCTCCCTCCCTTATAAACAGGTAATGCAAAATAAAACTCCAATGGCTTAACACTTGACAACTTCATATCCACTGCCTTGGCAAAAACTTAAAGAAAAAAATCAAGTATTCATAAGGAAAAAGAAAAAGCATATTCATCTACTGTCATGTGGAAGGAAGTATTCAAACTACCTTCAGGAGCAAGAGAGCAACATTTAATAGTGTGAAGATGTGTATCATCCCCTAAAACCCAATAATTTCAGCCTAGAGAACACACTGCACGTGTGCCGAGGCAGACATGCATAAACATTCACCTCCGCATATATTAGGAATCAACCCACAGGGACACCTGGGTGCCTCAGTGGTTTAGCGCCTGCCTTCGGCTCAGGGAATTATCCCAGAGTCCTGGAATGGAGTCCCACATCCAGCTCCCTACAGGGACCCTGCCTCTCCCTCTGCGTCTTTCATGAATAAATAAGTAAAATCTTTAAAAAAAAAAAAAAAAGGAATCAACCCACATGCACCTTGCAGAACAGAGGGTGCTAAATTTTCAGACTGGACAAATGTGTTAACAGTGAAATTATACAACTTGCAATTTTTTTCATAACACTGGTAAATTTCACAAATGATATGAAGAAAATGGTAAGTGGTAAGAACACACACAGCATTAATTCATTCATAAAACAGGCAAATCCTAACAATACGGTAATATTCCAAAGGTCAAGTAATTTCAATTCTAATTCTCTTATTTGAAGAATTATGGTTTTTTAGTGGCATCCATGGAACTTCAGGTCTGAGGTTAGGTTTCCTGTGTCATCACAGTGAAGGGAAGCATTGAACACACAGACATGCATGTGCACTCACACTGGGGAGGGACTGTTCCAATAGCAGACTAGTCATTCTTGCGCTGAGTCTCCCCCCAAGCCCCACCCCTCAGGGTCTCCCACCACCACCACACCAAAGCTTTCAATAAACTTTAAGAACATGAAGGATAGAACCTTACCTCCTCCTCTGGAGGTTTAGATGCAACAAAGCGCGTTCTCTCTCGTCTCATCTTGCCGCCTCCACTACCTACTCCAGAAGATAAACCATTGGCTGCAGACATACTGAAATTTGGGTAAGAAAAGCCACTAGGCAAAGAAAAAGAAAATTAAAACAAATGATATATTACTCTGGTCCGTAACTTGTTAACTAACTGAAGACCTAAAAATTAGAACTGCTAACAAAAAAAGAAATATACAACCGAATGTTATTTTAAAAGCTGACAGATTTGTGTGTATGCATAGTTTTTTAACATTCTTAATCTTCAAAAAAAAAATAAACAAAGGCCTTATAAGTGAAATATAAAGAAGCTTAGCTATATAAAGACATTACCTTTCTTGTTCTCTAGTTTGTCCTGGTGTCGCAGGTTTTTCATATCCAGTCTAGAACAAAATGAGCACACACCAAATTTACATGCCTGTTTGTTTTAATTTTCCCAATACCTCCCTTCTGTCTGTCCATTTTAATATTTGAAGTCAGGAATTTGATGGGTTTTTAGTTAGTAAATCCTAAAACTTATGACTTATACCCTGCTTTCTGAATGGTAACTGAATTACAGCACGATTATACAAATAAAATGTCACTGAGCACACACTGCCCTTCAAACAACAAGGTAGTATACAAAGTTAATACACTTACAAACCAAAAAATACTTCTACTCATCTCTCATCATAGCCTACTAAAGGTGTAAGCAAATGTATAAGGATATTCTCTTTGAAATGATTCTCTGCAAATTAAGTTCCTCCATTTAAAGGGTATCACAGCTCTTCAGAGAAATAACAAAACAGAAGGTGGGGACCAGAAATTTACAGGATGAGCCTGGATTTTTTTTTTTTTTAAGTATTTTTACTTATTTGAGAGAGAGAGAGAGAGAGAGAGCGCACAAGCAGGAGGAGGAGCAGAGTTTCCCTCTGGGAAAGAACCTCAAGCAGACTCCCCACTGAGCACAAAGTCCCCCCCCCACCTCCCACTTAGGGCTCGATCTCATGACCCTGAAATTATGACCTGAGCCGAAACTAAGAATTGGATGGTTAACTGAACAAGCCACCCAGATGCCCCAAGTCTTGATTCTCCTGTATCAAAAAACAACTAAGTGTTCAAAATCTAAAAGCAAATACTACAAGGACACAGGAGCTAGTTCAAAGGCCAAATAAGACAATATGAACATCAAAATAAAAAATGCCAATAAAGGATTATAACGAATAGACTGTGAGAAATAAAGTTGACATAAAAATACAGATAGGTTCATAAATGAGAGAAAACTTTTCCTCCAGGAGGAGGACAACTAATAAGTATACAAAGAAGAGTGAAGTTAGAAAACCACCCTCTGTCCATCTACAAACAATAGTCTTGGGCAAAAATCACCAATAATGCTAACTACTAAAAGGTATTTATCCTCTCAAAGTTATCAACCTACAAGATATTTATTACAAAAGATAAAATAGTAACTTTTTATTGGAGAAATCCTACTACCACCACCTTAATAATCACACTGCTAGTAAGAAGCATGTGCTTCTTAACATGATAGGCTGAGAAGAGCTCAACATCTATTCTTTGATATTATTACCCAGGGGGGTACCTGGACAGCTCAGCTGGTTAAGCATCCAACTCTCCATTTCAACTCAGGACATGATCTCAGGGTCACTGAGCTCGAGCCCTGAGTGAGGCTGCATTCGGGGCATAGTCTGCTTGAGATTTTCCCCCTCTCCCTATGCCCCTCCCCCCTGCTTGCATATGCTTTAAAATAAAAAAAAAATTTAGAAAAAAGGACATAACTGGAATCTAATCATGAGGAAACATTAGACATCCCCAAATTGCAGGGCATTCTACACAGTAACTTACTTGTACTTTAGAAATATCGATGCTATGAAATACAAAAACAAACAAAAACCGTAAGGAACTGTTCTAGACTAAAGGAGATAAAGACACATGAAAACTAAATGCATACATAATCTTGAATTTTTTTCTTCTGGGACAACTGGCAACATCTAAATAAAATCTGTACATTAGATAATAATCTATTGTACAATTTTAAGTTTCTGGTTTGATAACTACTCTGCATTTATTACATTAAGGGCATTCCCTACCTACAGGAAATACACAGCAAAGTTAGAACAAATATAGTAAACTGTTAAGTCTTATAATTGGGCGCTCGGAGCCGCTCTGGCCGTGGAGCTGCTGCCCAACCCGGGACCCGGCCCTGGGTTGCTTAAAAAAAAAAAAAAAGAAAGAAAGAAAAGTCTTATAATTGTTCTTGCTAATTCTGTAAATTCATTAAATTCATTAATTCAAATTATTTTTTAAATTTTAATAAAGCAAACAAGACAAAGTGTTAATGATCGGTGAATCAAGGAGTAATGAGTAAACACTAAACTATTCTCTCAACTTTAGTTTGAAAAATTTTAATAAAACAGGTTATGAAGATGAGATTAAAATAAGAGATTAAATGTAAGTAAAGGCATTAAGAGCAAGATACTATATAAACACAATAAATACAAAAAAATACACTTTAAATAACACAACAGACAAACACAGAAATGGGACATTTTAAGACAACTGGCCTGGTCTTATCAAAAACCAATTTTGTCCAGCAATTCTGCTTAGGTATAGAACCCAGAAAAATGACAAAAACATGTCTACAAAATACCTGTACACAAACGTTCATAGCAGTATTATTCATTACAGTCAAAAAAAAAGTAAAAACAATCCAAATGTCCCCTCAACTGATGAAAGAATAAACAAAATCTAATATATATCCAAACAATGAAATATTACTCAGCCATACAAAAAGGAACAAAGTTCAGATGCATACTATGACATAGATGAACCTTAAAAACATTATGCTAAGTGAAATAAGCCAGTCACCAAGGACCACATATTTTAAAACTCCATTTGTATGAAACGTCCAGAATAAGCAAATCCATAGAGACAGATCAGTGGCTGCTTAGGGCTGGAGAGGGAGGAGTGGGGAATGACTACTAACAGGTATAAGGTTTGGGGCGGATGGGGAGAATGGTGATGACAATGTTCTAAAATCCACTGTGGTGATGACTGAACAACTGAGAATATACACTGCACCACTATGTACTCTTCAAATAGATGAATGGTACATTATGTGAATTACATCTCAAATAAAGCAGTTATTTTAAAAGAAAAACAATATGGTAAAGGAGTCAAGGCTTGAGATCTATAAAGACAAAACCAAAGCAATGTGTGAAATCTGCTTGGATTCTGATTCAAAAAAGCAACTATAAACAATACTGGAGTGTGGACTAAATATCAAGTAATATTAGGAAGGAACAAACATTAATTTATTCAGATATGATAATATGCAAGAAAATAGAAAATGCATGTCAAAGTACTTAGGGCTGAATAGATGTGTTATGTGACATTTTATTTTCAAATAGTTCAACACCACCACAAACAAAATACACAGTTTATAAAGTAATTCTGGCAAAATTATTTAATCTAAACTATGAGTACATATTAGTGTTACTAGTAAGCACGAATTTAGGATTTGATCAAGGTGCCAGCCATTTGAAAGGCATACCATTTATAATCACTAACACACAATCTTCATGCATTCTCTAGTTGCTACACTGCAATGGTAGAGTACTTGTATCTTATCTTATTCATTTTAATCGATAATCAAAGATGAGTGAAAATAAACACATACTCACACTGTGCTTTTTATCTATTCTTTGATTAGTCTTCCTTAATTCACCAGATGGGGTCAGAGATGGTTTAAAATAAACAGTTCGATTTGCTGCTATGGAAACTGGCTTTGGGGTCATGAGTCTCTGAACAGGGGGATACTGAGAGTCCACCTTATAGAAACCAAAGACAAACCTTTATTTTCATATATATCAGTGACACATATCTAAAAATCATTTGGCAATAATTAATGTGACCTAGAGACCTAGATGAATATTTCTTAGAGAACTACCCAAAGGATGCAAATGCTAAAAAGAAAAACTGACAGTAATAGAATGAAAGGTATATTTATAAACCTAAATATAAAATTCCAAATGGTTGCACAGACTATTTTATTCTAGACTTAATAACTTTTCACATATATGTGCCTATGCACAAAATGGAAATTATATTCAAAACTGTTCTACAAATCTAAGTTTTTATTGAATTTCAAATATAGAAACTAAAATGATTTTGCCACATTTTCCCCAAATTACTTTTTAGATATCCTTCAGCTGGAAATAAATTATTTTTAAACTAGCTATGAAAATAATTGCCCAAAAAAAGGGAGCAAAGAATTTCAAAACCAAAAATAAACCGGCATTATTATCTAAGCTCACAAGTGTTTTGTCAACAGTCTTTTGCAACAAGAAAACACAGTAAAAGTCCTGTTGCTGTAAGACTTCTACTCTGTCCAAAGACTGTACTACTATGAATATAGTCCTTTCACTCAGCAGCAGCTGTGAACAACACTGGTTTCCAAGGCAAAGCCTCTGTAGACTAGCTCTTCCCTGAATCCTCATCACAACTGTGATCTTACAACTCAATGAGATAGTCTATTTTGCAGACTGTTCTGATAACATCTGTGAAACATGAGCCACAATATTGTATTCTGGCTTTTATATATCCTAACACTCATTAATAACATTGGATTGATATTATACTCCATCTTTACTAAAACTTTTATCAATGAGAATTTGCATTATGGCAGTTTTTTACATTTACTTTTTAGACAATCTGACATAAAACAGGACTTTGAGAAAAGCAACTAATGCCATAAATTAATCCCATTGGCTAATAATGGATCCTCTTGCCTGATTACAAACATCTAGGTAATGCTAAAAAATTGTAAAGCAACACTATCCGCCCAAAACCCCTCAATTTTAGCCTTCTTTACAGAATTTCAGTAAAAATAATTATAATTTACCAATATCTCACATACAGTTCCCACAATTAATTCAGAAAATTATGATCATTTCAATCAGTTACTTCTGGGGAAAACTGGTGTTGTAATAAATGCTTTCACAAGTAAGAATCTGGGAATCTGCTTCCCCCGAAGGATACTTAACCACAAGCACAACTAACAAAAAATATACCTCTTTAACTGTATTTATCATTTTCTTTTTTTCACAGTAACCTCCAAAACTAATTTTAACCAAATAGAACACACTAAAAAGGGTTATCAAGATACTATAAGTTATATTTTTTTTATTAGTTCCCGTATCTTGGAACAGTATTTGGCTAATGAAAGATCTAGCAATTTGAAATTCTATTACAACAGATTTGACATGTTTGTTAATGAGGAAAGTTTACAAAAGTAACTTTTCAGTGAGGGTTTTAGTTCACTGAACTTCTATAATTACTAAACAAACACTTCAAGCACTTTTCACTCCAACTTTTATTTATCAGCAGGTAAAAAGTTACACAAAGACTACCAAGATGCTGAAAATGGAAATGCCAAATAACCAAAAAATATTGACTGAGAGTTTACTGTGAATACAGCACTGTGCTAAGGCAGGCACTCAAAAGAAGCTACAATGTCCAAGTAAAAAAATCTTATCTTTCAACCACGCCCCCTAACGACTATCAAATTCAATATATATATTTACTAACTTAAAAATAAATATAACAAAACTGCTGAAACTTTAAGTAAATAAATGCAAAAAAGTTTTACCCTTTCCCTTTTGGCCTGAAAGTCTGCAGTGGTATCTATTCCACTCCTATCAAGAGGCTGAAAAAACAAAATACTATTAGATTGGAAATTTTGAAAAATATGATTTTCATCACCAATATATAAAAATAGCTCTCTTAAAAAAGGTTTAAAAGTCAACTTACAGAATTCAGGGGAGAAGAAACAATAGATGGAATTCTTTTTGCATCCTGTTAATATTGAAACAATAACATAATTAAGATTTTTCACAAAACTCAAATTTTGTTACACACCCGGATTTAATTGTGATTCTAAAATTTTACCGCCAGAGGGCTTGACATCTTCTCCAAAGACTGCAATATTCGCCGAGCTGTTGAACTAGTCACACCGTAAGATTGTGCATTGAGCTGTTTAGCTTTCATCTGTCTTCGAACTGGTGCCTATAAAGTAAACACTGTATTATTTTTTTGGACTGTAAACTCTAAAGCACATATTTCAGGAAATGAAAATATTTACAAAACAGAATGTATCTCCACAGAGAAACAGGATTAATATGTTAACAGCAATTTATCTCTGGGTGGTGTCATTATGCATAAGTTCAATTTTTTTTCTCTGTATCTTTACTGAAAAGCCAATGACTTTTACAATCAGAAACAAGATAGCATGCACTATGCTAAAGATCTGTAGCTATGTTAAATGGGAAAAGTGAGATCACTGGTATGAAGTTTAAGCATTATCTTAATCCATTTATCACTGATGTCTAAATCAAACCCTTCTTGTTGAATCACTATGCCATCACTATGCTGTGCACCTAAACTAATATAATATTGTGTGTCAACTGAAATTCAATAAAAAAATAAAATTTAATTTTAAAATAAATAAAAGAACTAAAGTAATAAGAATTATATTAAAATATTATTCTAGATATTAAATAAACTCCAAGATAACTAAATGAAAAGATTATAGACTCTATTGTAAAGAAAATTTAGCTTTTTAGACTAATTTCTCAAATTTTGACCTAAAAATTTTAAATACTCAGGCTATTTCTTTATGACCTGTAACTTTCTTAAAATTGGAGTTAAGGAAAACCCCTAATAAAGAATAGACAAGTACCCTTTAATATGCAAGCACTGTTTACAAATTCCAATTAAAACACTTTTCTCAAAAATGCATTAAAACAATCCAATAACCAAGTGACTATCACAAACAATTTGACAATGCTTAATATAAAGATATTATCACAATCGAAACTCAGTTTCTACAAATAGCTCATAAGAGCTAAAAAACTGAACCATGATAACTACTTTATAAATAATGCTTCTCTGATACCTAACACTGATGACATTTTAGAGTAGCTCCAATATTCTCCATCAGCTTTATTAAGAAGTTGATGCCCATTAAGGATTGCTTTCAGGCCAGAAGCTTTGGCAAATATGAGGCAACACTAAAATCCTCTAGGAAAATATGACAGTCTGTCCTGTCACTGGGTTCTACTGGCCACTCAGGGCCTCAATTCACTAATCAATAAAATGGAACTGAGTTAAAGAATCTTTAATAGACTTCCCAGCTCTAATACTCCAGGAAAGGACTAACAAATGGATTCATTTAAACGTCAATGATAAACATTTCAAAGCCTGTGCTGAGAAGGATTCTAAGGGTATGTCATGACTTGGCATTAAAAAGTATAAAATTCAATGTAAGAAAGGAAGAAATAGCAAGAACACACTCTGACTTGGACTACTCTGTGAATCATAGGCTTACATCATCTAATCTTCTAACATGCTGAACTATTATTTTAACTTTAAAAAATGTTTAAAGGAGTAATATGATCCAGTTTAAGTTCTAGAAAAAGCTCCCTGTGTAACTCCAACATCCAGTTAACTCTTTCTAAAATAACAAAATATTGCCCTTCATGAACACTTTCAGAAATAAAACTCTAATTACTATTAACTATATACACGAAATCATCCTATAATTAGGAAAGAAACTAAAGACAAAAATCTTAAAATATGTTTCTATGCCATTGCTGTTTGTCACAGACTGTTTTCTTCACGTAGATTCCCCTCTCCAAAAGCCTACATATTACTTCACCTTTAAAATGTCAAAATCCATAAAAGTAATAGGCACAACAAATACAATAAAACCGAATGTTTATGAACTTCAAAAAAAACTGTTACTTTATGGTAAAACACAGAATGGTAGGATTTACCTTGAATTTGTTTTTTTTAAGTTATCAATTTCAACTTGGTCTTTGCTCATACGTATGTAAATAAAACTGATTTTGTATATTGACCTTGTATCCTGGGATCTTGCTAAACTCACTTAAAAGTTTTGGTAACACTTTTTTTTTTTAATTTCTTAGGCTTTTTTTTTCTATGTAGATAAGCACATTGTTATGAATAGAAATAATTTTTTCTTCCTCCCCAATCCATATGCCTTGTATTTCTTTCTTCTTGCATTGGCTAGGACTATAGTATAGCATTAAACAGTAGCAGCTCTAACAGACATCCTTCTCTTACTGACGTGAGAAGAGTATTCAGTCTTTCACCATTAGTATGAGGCTAGCTGAAGATTTTCTATAGGTACCACTGATCAGGTTGAGGAGACCCGCTTTATTCCTCAAGCTATAGAAAATTTTTATCTGATGGACACTAAATTTTGTCTAACGTGTTTTATGCATCTGTAGAAATGTTCATATGGTTTTTATTCTTTAAGAGTTTGTTTTCTTGGTAGATCATATTAATTTTCAAATGTTGAGCCAACCTTGTATTCCTGGGATAAGCCCTACTCGATTATAAAATAGTATCTTTTTATATATAGTAGATTCAATTTGCAAGTATTTGTAGAGAAGTTTTAGGCCTGTAATTCACTAGAAATACTTGTCTGTGACTTTCTTGCAATGTCTTTGTCTGGTTTCAGTATCAGGGTAATGTTGGCCTCATAAATATGTTGGAAAGTATATCCTCCTATTACACGGAAAAGTATGCATAGAATTGGTATTATATCTTTCTTAAATGTTTGGCAGAATTTATCAAGCAAATTATCTGAGCCTGAAGTTTTCTTTGCTGGAAGGTATACATATTAAATTTATTGAATAGACTATTTAAGCTATTTATTCTTAACTAGTATCAAAAAACATGAAATACTCAGATATAAATCTAACAAAATATGTGCAAGGTCTGTGTGATGAATACTACAAAACACTGATAAAAAATTTCAAAAAGATACATGGAGAGCCATGCTGTGTTCAAGGATTATTGAACAAGTTAATTAAGATGTAGATGTTCCCTAAATTCATCTTTAGACTCAATGCAATTCTTTTTTTCTTTTTTTTTTTTTAATTTTATTTATTTATTCATGAGAGACAGAGAGAAGCAGAGACATAAGCAGAGGGAGAAGCAGGCTCTTCACAGGGAGCCTGATGTGGGACTTGATCCCCGGGAATCACGCCCTGAGTCAAAGGCAGACAGCTCCACAGCTAAGCCACCCAGGCATCCCAACTAATGCAATTTTAATCTACATTCCAGTAGGTTACAGAAACTGGTAACGTGGATTCTAAAATTATGAGAAAACAAAGATCTGAGAAAGCCAAAACAAGTTTGTAAAAGAACAAAGTTGGAGGACTCACATTAGCAATTTCAAGACTTACTGTAAAGCTATAGTATCAAGACAGTTTAGAGTTAGCCAAAGGAGGATACATAGAAACAAAGTCAAAAAACAGACCCACATATATAGTTAACTGATTTTCAACAAAGATGCAAAGGCAATGCAATGTAGAATGTATAACCCTTTCAGCAAATGGTACTAGAAAAATTGGATACACCTTATGCTAAAAAAAAAGTCTTGATCCCTACACCTCATGACATGATACATACCACAGACAGAAATTAACTTAAAATAGATCAGAAGGCCTGAATTAAAACCTAAAACTATAATGCCTCTAGAAAACATAGAAAAAAATCTGTGACCCTATGTTAGTCAAAAATGTCTTACACACTACACCAAAAGCATGAACTATACAAGGGGAAAAAAAAAAACCCAACATACTGAATGCCATCAAGTCTAAAACTTCTTTTCAGAAGACTTAAACCAGGGACAGCTGGGTGGCTCAGTGGTTGAGCATCTGCCTTCGGCTCAGGGCGTGATCCATTAAGAAAACAACCCTATTAAAAAATGGGCAAGGGGAGCCTGGGTGGCTCAGCTGGTTGAGTGTGTGACTCTTGATTTGACTCAAGTCATGATCTCAAAGTCACGTGATGGAGCCCTACACTGGGCTCCCAACTCTGCCAGGAATCTGCTTGAGATTCTCCCTCTGCCTTCCCCTCCTTCAAGTGCACACGAGCATGCTCTCATTCTCTCTCAAAATAAATAAATAAATCTTTAAAACAAAAAAATGACAAAAGATTTGAACAGATGCTTCACCAAAGATAATACATTTATGGCAGATAAGCACACAAAATTATGCTCAGTTTCATAAATAAAAAACAGTTAATGTGGAGTTACCACTACATGCCAATTAGAATAGCTAAAATAAAAAAATTAAAGATCAAAAAATTAAAAAAACAAAAACAGAAACAAAGAACTGATGACAAGTGCTGCCCAGAACACTGCTGAAAATGCAAAGTGGTACCAACCACTCTGGAAAACAGCCTGGCACTATATTATAAAGTTTAATGTAGGGATCCCTGGGTGGTGCAGCGGTTTGGCGCCTGCCTTTGGCCCAGGGCGCAATCCTGGAGACCCGGGATCAAATCCCACATCGGGCTCCCGGTGCATGGAGCCTGCTTCTCCCTCTGCCTGTGTCTCTGCCTCTCTCTCTCTCTCTGTGACTATCATAAATAAATAAAAATTTTTAAAAAATAAATAAATAAATAAATAAAATAAAGTTTAATGTATACTTATCATAAGACCCCGCAGCCAACTTCTTGGTGACCAAGAGAAATGAAAATTAACATTCACACAAAATACTCATAACCCCTTTAATCACAATTGCCTCAAATCAGAAACAGCCCAAGTGTCCTTTCACTAGTGAATGGATAAATTATAACTCAGCAATAAAAGGAACTACTGACATATGCAAAAATATATATTAATCTTAGGTGCATTACGCAAACTAAGTACAATGAGCCAGATTCAAAAGGCTAGATACTACACTGATTAAATTTAAATGACGTTCTAGAAAAATCACAACTACAGGAAAAAAAAAAACAGATCAGTTGTCGGAGGGTGGAAATGGAAAGAGGGACTGACTATAGAGAGGTACAACGTAACATTTTGGGGTGGAAACGTTTATTCCATTCTCTGATTCCAGAGATGGTACACAACTCTATTTTCTTAAAGTTCTAATACTCTAATAAGGTTAAGTTCTACAATATATAATTTACACCTCAATTTTTTGAAAAAAGAAATATTATCTCAATTAATTAATTTCTAAAAGCACAGAGGCATATAACACACTCACAAATGTAATGAATAAATTTATTCACTCAGGTCTAAAATAACATTCAGATAGTCCCTAAATGAAAACAATGTTTCTAATCCACAGTTCTATCATTTTACCAAAAAACAACCAAACCACAATTCCATTTGAGGTCTATTAGTTACTTGTCAATTGTTATTTTTAAGTTCTCAGTCCTTCTATTCAGACCAACCTGATATGGTGTATTTCGTAGTTTAGGTTGTCTTACAGCAGCTGCTGCCCCACCATACGTTGTTTTTCCAGGATAAAAAGGAGAATCTCCAAGCTGACTTGTTTTAAGGACTGAAGAATTCCCAAGTGACTGCGCAGAAACACAATGATAAATCATGAGTAATAAACACTCAAAACTAATATGATTAAATCAAAACCTATTAGTACTCACAGGGGAAAGCGTTCCAAAGGCAGACAAGTTGAATGCTGGTTTTTTTGAGCTGGTGGCAGTGTGCTGTGAGTGTGAAGGAGTCCGTTCAGCCTCTGGGGACCATAGAGGTGGCACTGAAGTGTTCTTTGTAACAGCTATATCTGAAACAAAAATATGCATAGTAAGAGCACTGATTACAAGAAAATGGACATTACAAGTCAGAAAAAACCTATCCCATGAAATTTAACTTCACTACCAAATGCCAAGAATACCTTTATCAGAAGCTCTTGAAGAAAAACCACTGGTAGTTGAGATGTTATCATCATCATGCTGAGAGGTAGAATCTTTAATTTCCTTTACAAGGGAAAATCCAGAACTGCCAATTGGGAACGCCGAGGATGTGGAGGGCTGACAGTGTAATGCAGGAGATTCCAACATGGAGAAATTCATATGGCTCCGATGAAGAGAAGGCCTTGTTAATACATCTGGGTAATTTGAAGAAGTACTAGTTGTTGAGGGTTCTTAAGAACAAACAAACAAACATTAATACTATGAATATACAGCTTAGAAAAAGCAATACAATATCACAACAAAATGGCATTTAAGAAAACATACTATACAAATACAGCTTCAAGTCACTGAGGCCTCCCATGATAAGCCCAATTTAGGTTTGTTTTTTTTTTTAGGTTATTCTTTTTAGATGAAATGAAGTTTCATCTAACTGCAACGAATTTACTTAACCTAGTATCAAACCATGTTTCAGAGTTCACATACAACTTCTACAAGTGCATGGTCGCTTTTCCCCTTGAATTGATATTATAAAACTTGCTTGTGAAAAATCAAGTCAAAGAAGCTATATAAGAAAGTCATAAAAAGTGGGCAGACCCGGTGGTTCAGCGGTTTAGTGCCACCTGAACCTAGAGACCCGGGATTGAGTCCCACATCAGGCTCCTGCTTCTTCCTCTGCCTCTCTCTCCCTCCCTCTCTCTCATGAATAAATAAATAAATAAAATCTTAAAAAAAAAAAGTCAGGGCAGCCCCGGTGGCGAAGCGGTTTAGTGCCGCCTGCAGCCCGGGGTGTGATCCTGGAGACCCAGGATCGAGTCCCACATCTGGCTTCCTGCATGGAGCCTGCTTCTCCCTCTGCCTGTGTCTCTGCCTCATTCTCTCTCTCTCTCTCTCTCTCTCTCTCTCTCTCTGAATGAATGAATAAATAAATAAATAAATAAATATTTTAAAGATAAATATAAAAAAATTTAAAGAGTCATAAAAAGGATGCCTGGTTCCTCCAGAAATAACCACTATTAAATTTGTATATCCTCCCAGATATTTTATATGCATATGTAAATGTTTCCCCTAATTATATAATCATGCTATGCATCCAATTTTCTAGGACTTGTTTTTTCATTTAACAATATAATTTTGTCTCTATATACAAAGCACTCCCCTTAAATACCACATTGTATTTTATCATAGTCAGACTATACTTATGTGATTATTTTCCCAATGCTGCCAATATTTATGTGATTATTTTCCCAATTTCCATCAAACATACATGCACTGATATCTGCATATTTTCAGAGTATTCTTTTGGATTAATCCATGGTTCTCTAAGAATATAACAGAAACATGAAAAAAATTATTAAACATACTTTTAAGCTACCCAAAGAATATCTGATTCTGTAAGTCTAAAGTTGGGCCCCTAAAGCTTCCCAAGTATCCAACAGAATTGAGTAAGATTCAACTGAATAAACAATTAGATGTGGAATTGCTCTGTCAGAATATATAAGAGTGCATGTTCACCTTTGCATATGAGACATCACGATCCTGTCAAGTTATACTCCTACAAATGGTAAATGACAATGTACATTTCCACCATACTCTCCAACATGGGACATTCACCTTTACTGATTTCTGTCAATCTACTACGTCAAATGGCATCATTTTATTTGCGTTTACTTAAATGAGAGATATTGAGCATCCTTCCCTATATTTAGTGGTCATTTATATTTCTTCTTCTATTAATTGCTTACTGATATAGTCCCTATATTAAGATTAGTAAAATCTTTTTTTTTAAAGATTTTACTTATTTATTCATGATAGATATATAGAGAGAGGCAGAGACACTGGCAGAGGGAGATGCAGGCTCCATCCCGGGTCTCCAGGATCGTGCCCTGGGCCAAAGGCATGGGCTAAACTGCTGAGCCACCCAGGGATCCCAAGATTAGTAAAATCTAGTTTTTGATCAGTAAGATAGTGTGATGTGATCTGAAATATTACAACTAATTTTTCACCATTGGTTGAACCAATTTATTTTGTTGATGGTGTCTTTTGCAATACAGAAAATAACTTGTATCTTTTTTTTTTAAATATTTTGTTTATTTATTCATAGAGACACAGGAAGAGAGAGAAAGAGAGAGAGAGAGAGGCAGAGACACAGAGAGAGGGAGAAGCAGGCTCCAAGCAGGAAGCCCAACGTGGGACTCGATACCGGGTCTCCAGGATCACACCCCAGGCTGTAGGCAGCACTAAACCACTGCGCTACCGGGGCTGCCCAATAACTTGTATCTTGTTTACAAAGACTTTTACCATTCCAAAACTATAGGAATTAAAAATTTTACTCATTTTTTTAGTACTGTACTGCTACTTTTATTTCAATATAATGTTTAATCTTGCATCCATCTGGAATCAGTTATGATGTAGTTGAGAGAATGATTCAGCTTTATTGTTTTCCAAATGGTTAGCCTGTTTACATTCTAAAATAACCTTCTTTTTTTTTTTAATTTTTTTTTTTTTTTATTTATGATAGTCACAGAGAGAGAGAGAGAGAGAGAGAGAGAGGCAGAGACACAGGCAGAGGGAGAAGCAGGCTCCATGCACCAGAAGCCCGACGTGGGATTCGATCCCGGGTCTCCAGGATCGCGCCCTGGGCCAAAGGCAGGCGCCAAACCGCTGCGCCACCCAGGGATCCCCTAAAATAACCTTCTTAAATAAGTTACGTTTTAATCACCGAATGAGAAGCCATCACTACCACGATACTAAATTCCAAAAGGCTTTTCATTCCTTTCTCCAGTGATGTATCTGTACCAGTATGATAATGTTTTACTACTCCAACTTTAGAACACATTTAGTAACTGGAAAAGTTATTCCAACCTACCCCCATATTCCCCTTATTCTTTTTCAGAATTTCTCTATTCATCTTCAGATACATTTTCAAGAACTTTAAAGTCATTTGTAAGGTTTACAAAAGACATTACTGTTAGGTTGGAATAACTGGGCCTCCGGACTAGTCCTACTACTATAATTTAAATAATTATAAAACTGTACAAAATATAAGACATCTTTCAGATAGGAGAAAACAGCACTCAAAAAGAAAAGAAAAAGAAAAAGAAAAAGAAAGCAAGCAAGCAAGCTCAAACAGTGAGTCCTATCACTACCCAGCTCTCTACCCTGGCACATTTTTAGACCTGGAAGAGAAAACTGGAGTCCAAATCCAGATGGGAGTGTCCAGACAGTGAATGGGCTATCATTGCACAGAGTTAGACTTAGTTAGACCATCTAAGGCTTAACAAATACCAGCTGTTACAGAATTGAAAAAATAGATGCTAGGAGGTGAGCAATGCTAAGGGACAAGAAGCAGTCCTAAGAACAGAGAAGCCAGTGTTGCAAGAACTGAGAGATCCCATAAACATATCCCTAAATCCATGGTATTCAGCCAAGATGTTGGAAAAGCTTCCCCTTGAGACTAAGGATCATGTCAAGAACAAGACCTACGGTAGACTCAGCCTAAAAAGCCACAGGGGAAACAGTCTGAAGTCTAAGTCCTACCACTTTAGGGAACTTAAACACCTTGGACAGATACACATTAATAAAACGTAAAACTAAGTTGACAAAGTTCAAAATGATCATTTAGTAACAACCGCCTGCTCAATCAAGAATTAATACTCCTCAGAGGAAGATAACAGCATCCAGAATCTCTACTTTTATTATTCAAAATATTTAGGCAGAAACCATTTGATATATATAAGAAAAATGTGATCAATAGTGGGGGAAAAAAGACAGCCAGTTCAATAGGAATTGAACTAAGATAGCCAAGATAACCTTAACAGACTCATTAAAATTATTTGACTTGGATCACACTAAAGTTTTAAAAAGGAAGTGCTATCTGGCCCAGCATTGTTTTACTAATGACTTTTCCTTTTGTTCAGGTCTCCTTTAGGTCCCTCAGCATAATTTGAAAGAATTTCTTCTTCTAGAGTACCATACACTTCTTGTTAAATTTATTTCTATCTATTTTTGTTGTTTGATATTTTAAGTGGGAACCTTTCTTCCTTCAAACTTTCTAACACTGCTTAAGTAGGAGTTACTGGGGTGTTTTTCTATATTAACTTTGTGATTTAGTTCTACAATTGTCTTATTCTAACAAGTTTTGTTTTGTTTTAATCAATTGGCTTAAGTTTTCTGGGTATTACTGATAAGCAAGGATCATTCTGCCTCCTTCTTTCCAACATTTACACGTATACATACATTCTCTATAATTATATATTTAATATCTAGAAGTGGTGATGAAGGGCTTCCACTTTATACCTAATTTTAATGGGAATGTTTCTAATGTTTCACCATTACATACGATTGAGGCCTTTGGATGACTAACATGTTAAGGAAGTAGTGGTTTCCAATTTCTATAGGAAATAGGAATAGACTAAGTTTTAGCAAATGCCTATTAAGTATTTACCAGAAAGAAAAACAAATTATAAGATTTCACCTAAAATATGCTAAATTATATTAATAATTTCCTCATGATGAAGGATTGCCTACATCTCAAGATTAACTCTCCCCAGTAAGAAGATTCTATTATTCTTTAATGTGCTCCTAGATTGTATTTGCTACTCTGTAATTTTCTTCCCAAAAAGTCAGTCTTCAAAAATACTTAACAGTATAAGCAATACAAAACAATTTTGGATTATTTAGTTTCAAAGTACAATTATGCAAAAAATAAGACAGATAAAAACACTTAACTAGTACTAGAAAGAAACATCAACTTAATAAAAGCCATAAATGAAAAAAAATCACAGCTAACATTAAATTCAGTGGTCAAAAGACAGAAATTTTCCTCTAAAATCAGGAAACAAAACAAGGATACTGGCTGTCCCCACTTCTATTTAACCCAGTATTGGAAGCTCTAGCCAGAGTAGTAAGGAAAGCAAAAGAAAGATATTCAAATTGGAAAGGAAGACATAAAATATCCCTACTCACAAATGCTATAACTTATATGTAGAAACTTCTAAATATTACACATATACACACACACACAAATCCTGCTGGAATAAACAAATTCAGCAAAGTAGCAGATTACAAAATACACAAAAATGAGTTGTTTCTATACCTTAACAATGCACATTCTGAAAAGTAAATTAAGAAAACAATTCCATTAACAACAGCATCAGAAAGAATAAAACACCTAGAAATTAACCAAAGAGGTAAAAGACTTGAACAAAGAAAACTATAAAACACTGCCAAA